TATTTCGATCGTTTTTTACGCCATGAACAAATTCTTGAACTCTATTGTAATTTCGAACTATGATGAAAAAAAAGAGAAAAAAATGATAATGAAGTCCTGTAATCTTATAATATCTATAAAGTTAATAATAATATCTTTAAATTGCTTAATAGATTACAAATGCATATATTACAATTTAAATAATACAACTTTCCAAAAGTAAAATCAATCTGTTAATTATATGCTGTGTATGATCATAAAATCATATAATATTAGAAAATTAAATATACATTAATTAAACATTATAGCATCAATTTCTGTTTGCTTTGTATTTGTGTAATTTAATTATACAAATAATTTTAATCCGACATTTAACATTGTCGATTTAAGAATATAAAAATTGCACATATTGGAATCGATAATTTAATGAAATAAATTTCTATTGCACATTACTAATTACCACAGTCAAAATTAATTATATTCTATGCAAACATACACATTATAATTTAATATCTATAGTTTTTCAAATAAAACTCTTATACTTTTTCGTAATTTAGTCAAAATCATATTTTTATAAGTTGTTTTTAATTATAAATAATTTACAACGATAATTCATATTTATTATGAGGAATACCTTTTGGATACTAAGTAATGTTGAGAATTAAATTCTGACAATCATAAAACGTTGACATAAACATTATTTTAAAAAATGTGGATATATTAATATGTATTTGTAATTATAATAAAGAACTACCTTTTCATGACTTTTGTAATTTGTACTATGAAATATGGTTACTCTGTTAAAAAGTAAATAAAATTTTATTTTAATTAAATCTATCATTATTTACACTATGAACAAATTCTTGAACTCTATTGCAATTCGGTGCGATGATACAAAAAAAGGTGATAATGAAATCTTGTAATCTATACCATAATAATAATACCTCTAAATTGTTTACTAAAATGCAAATAAACAGTACATTTTTAATATAAAGACTTATTATGTATGATGTAATAAATCATTTTTAACTTGCATAATTAGATTGAATTATCGATGCATGTCGAACAGAATCACTTAATTTAATGAAGAATGAGTAATAAGAGTGAGTGGGCGAAATTTAATGAAATAAATAATTCTTACAAAAACTGTAGAATAGATATTAAGAATAATATAACAAATTTTTCATTTTAATTCATTTAAACACATACGAGGGAAGCATCAAAGATCGTTAATTAAATGACTATCGCTATTTTACAAATTTAAACGTCAAAATTTTTAGGCAACCATTAAATGTCCATATATTTTCTATAGGAGCAATTCAAAATGATAAATAATTTCTTTATAAAATTGAAAAATCCCTAATTGTATCAATAGTTGAAGAACTAAATTCAAATTTGAATAATCGATTAAAATTATATTATTTTAAATAGTATATCTGAGCTATATGGCTTTTAATAAAATATACATAAAAATTTCTTAATGAATTATGAATGATTAAAATTACATAATCATTTATAATTAATATATTATTAGAAATTAATAATATATTTATTTCATTTTTATATTTATTTTTTTCATTCTCTATTCTTTTCAGTTATAATTGATGCTTTATAAAGTAATTGCCTAATTATATATCATTAATTATTTATGCGTTGGAATTTGTCAGTAAAACATATTTAGTATCAATTTCTAGGATAATGTATAATAGACGACCACGTTGACATTTCTCCATTTAATGTGGCCTTTACTAATAGAATAATTTTGTAATTTTACAATAGCATGATTGCGTAAAAATATAAAGAAAAACAAACTTCAATTAAAAAACAAATATATTTTGTCATCGTTGTCTAAAATAACACATCTAAATATTATGACACTATCTCTTGTCATAAATAAACAAATTACTAAACAGACGGATAAAACACTGAACAAACTAATAAGCAGATGCATAAATAAATAAGGATTAATTAACTTAGAAAGCTCAAGAAAGACTTTGAAGTTAGATACATCGCGAATGCGTTTTGACTGATGGAACGCTAATGGATTTGTCACCATCATAATCAATGAATATCATGAGAAACTAGTTTGAAGCAGGTTTTAATTAAAAAAAAAAAAAAAAAAATATATATATATATATATATATATATATATATATATATATATAAAGTCGACGTCATCGGGTTGTGTCGATCAATATAAGTAACTGTCTTATTTTGGGCAATTTAACGGCTTAACCAAGAGTCGATCTTCTTCGTGAGCATTCCGCTTGGGTATGTCGTCGCTAAAACGAAATTTTTTAGTTGTGCATATATATATATATATATATATATATATATATTTATAATAATCGGTTAATCCGCTCGGAAAGAAATAGCATTTATTATACATCAAGCGAGCGAAATATCAGCGAACGAACAGGCAGAAGGTCATTTGTGCGGATGTACGACTCGCGTACCTGAAAGGCGTCGTTCAAGTCGTGCATACGCATCCGCTCGCGTTCGTTACTCTCGAGCCTCCTCAGGGTCCGTTCCCGGGAGTTTTCAATGCGCGAAACGGCCTTTGCCGGGGCCTTGCTGCTTTGCGTTCGCTTCTGTCGTCGCCGTCGCTGCTGCTGCTGCTGCTGCTGCTGCTGCTGCTGCTGTTGCTGCTGTTGCTGTTGCTGCTGCTGCTGATGCTGCTGCTGATGCTGATGCTGATGCTGATTCCGATGCTGACGATAATGTAAATGCTTGCGCCTCGAGTCGAGCTTTTCGAAATTATTGCCGTCCATCGCGTTATTAAATGCCAACGGCGACCCAGTACTTTAATACTTTGCTCGTGCGTGTACGAGAGGCGGAAAAAATGGAATGGATCCGTGCACCCGAGAATTACATAAAGCCACTGCTGGGATAAACGGCAATTATTAAGCTTCGATGAGCATCGCACTTGCACGAGCTTCTGCGGCACTCGTGGCGTCGAGTTAATCGCGATACTCGAATTTTATAGGTGAACGAAGGTATTGCGAGTGCGTGCATGCTGGGGGACTTGAGAGTATTATGGAAAATATCAATATCCGTGGCTTATGGCTTGCCCATTATTCTAATCTTCGCGCATCAACAACCTTATTCCACCTTATTGTCATTAACTTTATTATAACATTTCATAAAAATTCCGCGTGAAAATTGAAAATCCGTTATAATATAAAAGAGCTCTCTTCTTATTAACCAAACGAGGCATTCACTTTATTCTCGAGGCACTGATGCGCGCTCCTTGGAATATTATGCAAACAATTTATTTTCAAATTATTCTAAGTTATTTTCGAAACCAACACTTTGATAGAGCGTAAAGTTGCATGCGTATGTGCATGTAAATTATCTTGCGTACGGTTATGCCCGCGAATACGGAGTGTAGAAGTATGTAGAAGTAAGGCGTATGATTTATACAAGCAAAGTTTTAAAATGTTACGACGTTGAAAAGTATCGGCGATAAAATATAGATAACCAAGGCAATGTGCCTTATCCCTTAACAATAATTATATTTCTCAAAACGAAAGTACGAAATTATTGGAGTACGCATAGCTCAGTCGAGGCGAAACGAATTATCTAGAAATCATATATAAAAACAAAAACAAAAAATTGTAACAATAGGACAATATATTTAAATAGCTAAAATAATTGAGATATAATTAATAATGACTTTTTTTTTTATTTATCGTTTAAAAGTAATTTTGAAATAAATATTTTAATCTTTAACTTGGACAGATCAAAGTTTTATCGTTTGTATTGCATACTTTTTCCAAATTAATATACACCCATTATTATTAACTGTTCGTTTTTTGTTTTTTTGGTATCATAAAATATACATGGTAATCCTTGCAAAGTATACATAGATCAAAACTTTTAATAATGTACTGTGAGTATAGTAAAGTAAATTCGAAATAATAACAAAACTTTTAATTGCATGCTCCGTTTTACTATGTTGATAGTTTCTAGTTCATTTTGCTTAAAATCACATATAATTTGATTCTCATTATCATAAATAAAAACAACAACAAAATTACGACGAGTAAAGTAAAATAAACGAATAATGAAGCTATTATTGCATTGATGGAATTAGACGTTAAAATCTATATATCTTAAGTAAATGAAAGATGTATATAAAGATTCTATACGAATTCAATAAGTTAAACGAAAGTTAAAAATTAGAAATTTTATGATTTATCCAAAAATAACGATTGATTCAAAGTTATTTCAATCACATCGTCCGTTTAGATTTCATAGCGCCAATGTAAAATAGAATTTATACTTTTTATCCTTGCTACATTTAATACAATTATTATATTATATTTGAATTTGTTACTATTCTTTGAGCAATTTATATAATCCCAGATTATTGACTTGACTATCAGTTAAATTGATTATCAATTATTACAATTTATAGAGTAACGATGACTTGTATCGACAATTTGCTAATCGATCACTTGAATCTTGGCAGCGTATTTCGAGGTGCTCCACGGCACATTCATTGCAACGCTCAGAATTTTGAAATTCTTTTTAAAATCTGGCATTCGAGAGAATTTATCGGTTTGTTTATTTTCGTTTATTTTCAAGTAAATAGCCCATCGCAGTCAACGAACGACCGAGAACCTTATCAAATTGGAGGGAAGTTCATTGCCGATAGTGATAAACATGCTTGCTGATTAAGATCGGAAATTCGAGGCTCGGGTAACGAATGGTGTCTTACCCGTAATCGGTTTAACTGACCAGCAGCCAATTCGGATAGGGAGAAAGGGCGCTTTGAAGGAAGTCGCGTCCAAGATCAAGATGGATCAGCCAAACGCCGTGAAGAACTAATAAAAAAAAAGGGAAAGGTGAGAGAGCGAGGAATTGCAGGATGAACGGTTGATAATAGAGTGTGATGTGAGAGTGGCTAGGGAGGGAAAGGAGGGTCGCACGCGCAGGGTCTGACCTCCGCGGTGGAGAGGAGAGGAGGATCTCGGCCACGCTCGACACTTGTTGCGACTTGTATCGCGCTTGGCAGCGCCAAGTACTACTGACGTTAGCGCCGCGACGCCGCCGCCGCCGCCACCGACGCCGCCGCCGTAACCACCGGCTACGCTATGACGTGAGGGTGCGTCCGGCGGCATGGCGCCATCCCTCCACACTCTTGCCGCCTCTTTCACTCGCTCTACCACCCACCATCGCTCTCTTTCTCTCTCTCTCTCTCTATCTATCTATCTCTCTAGCTCTCTCTCTAGCTCTCTCTCTAGCTCTCTCTCTAGCTCTCTCTCTAGCTCTCTCTCTAGCTCTCTCTCTAGCTCTCTCTCTAGCTCTCTCTCTAGCTCTCTCTCTAGCTCTCTCTCTAGCTCTCTCTCTAGCTCTCTCTCTAGCTCTCTCTCTAGCTCTCTCTCTAGCTCTCTCTCTAGCTCTCTCTCTAGCTCTCTCTCTAGCTCTCTCTCTAGCTCTCTCTCTAGCTCTCTCTCTAGCTCTCTCTCTAGCTCTCTCTCTAGCTCTCTCTCTAGCTCTCTCTCTAGCTCTCTCTCTAGCTCTCTCTCTAGCTCTCTCTCTAGCTCTCTCTCTAGCTCTCTCTCTAGCTCTCTCTCTAGCTCTCTCTCTAGCTCTCTCTCTAGCTCTCTCTCTAGCTCTCTCTCTAGCTCTCTCTCTAGCTCTCTCTCTAGCTCTCTCTCTAGCTCTCTCTCTAGCTCTCTCTCTAGCTCTCTCTCTAGCTCTCTCTCTAGCTCTCTCTCTAGCTCTCTCTCTAGCTCTCTCTCTAGCTCTCTCTCTAGCTCTCTCTCTAGCTCTCTCGCTCATTTACTGCGAATGTCTCTCCAAAGTGTATTACTGCCTTCGGCGTGTTAAGGGCATTGGGTGAACTTAATTGTCAAGAACGATCGGGGGATAGAATTGCTTCGCTGTACACTCAGAAGTAGAGAGAGAGAGAGAGAGAGAGAGAGAGAGAGAGAGAAAGAGAGCTATCGGAAAGCCAGCTGAGACGATGGATTTTCCATACGATAGGTATATGCCAGATGGGTTTTTCAGCTGCGAAAAATCTTTGGACATCCAAAGTTCCAAATTGAAGCTTCGTTAATCATAAGAAATAAAAAAAATAACGGAAGATCGTTTTTACATGTTTACATGAATTGTTAATGAAGAAAGCTTAAGCGCATATTTTTTGGTCTTTAATATTCAAATAGATATATGTTCATTTTGTTATTGAATTTAAAGCAAATGTTTATATAAATAACATTTTTAATACACTTATTTGAAATTTAAAGATATCACCTTTTTCTTTATATTCTCGCTCGTATATAATTACATGACCCATTGCCTATATAATGCCATAGTGAAACTCGTGTGTGTACTATTATTTTTCATTATAAACAAATAAATGTATGTTCAGATTTGAGCTTTTCACTCAATATACGAGCAAAAAGATTGCTATGACATCTTTTATTTACGAGCCAATTTCAAAATAAGGCCATAGAATATACCATTTTTAATAAATACTCTTCTTGTTACATAGAAAAACATAAACAATAATTTATGAAGCGAAAACGACAGGTATCTCAACATCTGCGTATCTTTTAAATTATTTTCATTTAATTAATTGATAAAAACGAATAATAATCGTTTAATGAACATTATAACGAGTTGATTGCGATTAAAGTTAAACAATTCGAATCTATTTTGCAGCAAATATTTCATAAATAATTGCATAATTAAGGACAATGGTAAAACGTTAAAAAAATTATTAAAATCTAGTATATTAATCCAATATCGATAAAACTTCAAAATCTATGTGTTAATTAGTAATTTAATTGCAAGTAGAAATTGATTAAATATAGTCAGGCATATACCACGCCAATATGTAGTACACATTCTGTGCAATGCCATTGTGAACTATTTCTAAGCAATTTAACTTAAACAACGAATAATAAGAAATAAAAAGACTTATAATTACACCTTTTTTTTGCTCATGTACATGATTAAATCTATATTTACTATATAACTTATATGTTAAATGAAGGTATAAAATTTACGGAGTATTAACTAGAATGAGATACAGGTTGTCAGGGTTAAAAAATATTTTAATAGCTGTTTATTTTAAGATAGTATATTACTTTCGTCAGAGTTAAATTTATAAATCAAATGAAAAAGCATGAATACGAATACAAAAAAAAAAGGAAATAATAGAATACTACTCAGCAATAACAACGACTAACGATAATTATTCACGAACGAACGTGCGCTTTTCATCGGTAGACTGTTGACATTGAGACTCTCGATGACTTCGATTCAACTCATTAAGAACTTCATATAATATCAAATTTAATATAAATTGTCCCATTGATATTACCGTATAGGGGCTATTCATTTGTACATATTCAATTGTACAAGCGAGCAAGAAGATAGATAAGTTCGCTTAATGATTCCATTATAATATTGATAATGCAACAGATAAGAATCAAATGCAATAATATCCCAAAACTTTTCTCGACTAATACGAAATATCCCATTCATAAAAATTTTCATTCATTATATTAGATTTAGATTAGATAAAATTTTAATAAATTTTCTATTAAAATTATCTGTTAAGATTTCTCTGCACTCACCTAGATAAACATAAAGGAAAAGCGCATAAATTAAAACCACATTTTTTAAAAAGCTCTTTAATTTTCGTACAAGTTAAATTGGTTATGATTTGACTCGATGTAAAATCTCTTGAAACTCGCTTAACGATTCATACAATAAATTATACAAAATCTTTGATCAATGATTATTTTCAAAATATTCTTTCAGTAAAGTGATTTATTGAATTAAACGTAGATCACAATTGTGTGATCGTAAACTTTCGTTTTTCGTACGATTGTGTAAAACAGATTTTCTAGAATTAGTCTTTGTTTTTTGTTTAAATAACTGTATTTTTTTAGAATATAAGGTTATCTTTTTAACTTGCAAGCATGTAGGATGTTCATGAAAGAAGGCAATCTTCATATCACATTAAAAAATTAAAAATTAAGATTATAATTGTAAATTATAATTACATTAGCATTTTTGTTACTCGCGATGAATAATTGGTCTTAAAAACTTTTATATGGCCAATATCGAATGACAATTGAAAATATATAATTACTAAAATAATATTTAAACTATTGTATTTATTTATTTATTTTTATTTATTGCGCTTGATCAAATAAAACCTTGAAAATTCTAATAATAATAAATAACTACATATTAACGAGTTTTTGTAATTACTATTAATATGCCTACAATGCTTTAAAGTAAGCAAATATTAATTTTTATATGTATTATTTTCATTTATATTTTATATAATTTTACTATCGGTGCACAATTATTTAAAACACTTAAAGTATATTTAATGAATAATAGTTTAAGTGTCTAATTAATTAATTAATAATTATTTACAAATTTTCGTTCCCTTGGTAATTCCACGCATTAACTATCCATTGATACCGTTTTTATACAAAACTCAAATTTAAATATGGAAGATAGCATAAACTTCAATGCCTAAGCCTTCAAGTATAATTATTTAACGACATGTTCTAAATAATATTTTACTGTTGGTTTTAAAAAATCTTTTAATTAATAAGGAAATACTTTTGTTTCTTTATGTAAAATGAAGTATGTACATGCAAATATGTTTGATATTTTTTTCATTATGAATGATTAATAATAATTCCGACTAACACTTATAACCGAGGTGTCAAAATATTTTCTTGGCTCCAATCGATATCAAAATTTAATAAGAAAAATTATTGATTTATCTTCGCATCCAGTACAGTGTAGATATTGAGCATACTTCTGCTTAAAGTACGATGTAACGGTTTCAAATACATTTTGAATATATCCTGAGAAAGCGATATGAAAATATTCAAGAAAAACTTCATTTATCGATATTCATTATATGAACTCTCTAGTGTGTAAAAAGTGTTTTGGATTTTAAAATCCTTTCGTTTACTTGAAAAATAATTTTATATTATTGGTTTGTCATTTTTAACTAACTTAATTTTGTGCGAAAAATTAAGAAATAATTATGAAACTTTACGCATGAGAAGCTACCAAACATAATTATTATGTAAAGTGAAATAGATTAGTGAACTGTAAGCTTTATATTATTCAAAGAGGTCAATGGAATTTTTTTTACTAATTTCTATTCGTCAAAAGACTTAGATGAAATAAAAGCAACATATTATATCGATATAAAATAGTTTATTAATAAAATATAATTAAATTTAAAAAAACTTTTTGTTAAATCAGAAATTATTTTTAAAAAATTTATTTTTGATATTATTTAATATATATTACATTTTTGTTTTGTTTTATACTACATTTTTTGATATAGTAAATTTTTTTTTATATTGCGATGTAATATATATATATATATATTTAAGAAGTTAAAAATATAAACAGATTTTGTAATATCTAAATATAACGAAGATCGTTATTTCATTGTAATATTATTTACATATTAATAATATTATTACAGTTGTTAACAATTTCTTCTGTTACAATATATGTATAGTCCTCAATATTATTGCAAATTAATTTCTCTATTAAGTTCTTATTAATATTATCCTAATTAATATCCTACTAAAGACTCTATTAACGGGACTTAATTTTCTATGTAGTAAAACTGGTAAAGATGAATAGTGTGAATTTTTTCAACAATAGATTAACAAACGATAGAATATGTAAAGTTAGCCATATTCAAGAAAATAAATAGTATTTCCCATACTGATCTATGTGATAGTAAAGATAAAAATAAAAAATATATAGAATCACACCAAATGAAAATGAGTGCATCAAAATTGTTTTAATTAATAAGCGTTTAAAAGGAAAAAAAAAAGAATTAAATTTGTATATAACTATGTTTTATTACTATATTATGTAGAACGTAAACTTTATGCATATAGAATATTATCATAAGTAAATTAATAGTAAATCATCCTTTTATGTGATTTAATTTTAATAAAGTATGTTATCATATTTATAATAATAAAAAAAATAATAATACTATAATAATGAAATATAAATAATGAATAGAAAATCAATAAAGCTTATAAATTAATAAACGATGGGATATAAATAGTGAATATCTAGTATTCAATAGATTATAAAATTTTAACGATTTATGAATTCTTGAAAAAAAAAAAAAAAAAAAAATCAATCGAATTACTGGTTGTAAATACAAAAATTTCAAAATTTAAAATAAAAATGTAATTACAGATGAAACGGTTGAGAACATCAGTTTTTGTTAGTACATAAAAGTTTAGATTTTTGTAGCCTTAATAATACTAATTTGTAATATTGAAAAATAAAAAGTCTTAAACATTAAAATGATTAGCCTTAATAATAAAATCGTAAATCCAGAATTCTAATTAATATAATATTTAATGAGAATTCATTTTAAATGAATTCTTAAATAATAATTTTTCAATCCAATCGACTTGCTCAATTTATGGAATTTGTTACAATACATTAAATAACTAAAACACCGTTTAATATACTTTTAATATAACAAAATCTCATAATATTCTTAAAGTAACAAATTATTTTATTCAGTTTTTTTCTTTAATGTTTTTTAATACAATTAATTTTGAATAATTAAACCCTGCCGTCGACATAAGATTTATGCATAAATGTGTTTGTTCTGATTTCATGATAATCTTATACAATGATAAAAATTAATATTTCATCGCTGCAATATAAACTATTAAATTTAATATTTATTAGGAATTTATTGCATGGTTATTCAAACTAAACTCGAATAAAGTTAGAACTGAATTTATCAGAAATTCAGCTTATATTAAAATTAATTATCAATTAGTAAATATTATTTTTATTAATTAATACTTATAGGTAATTCATAAGAAAGGAAGTCAGTCGTACAAATGGTTTATCGGTGCATTGAATTTGATTGATTCGATCGAGAATTCTAAATATCATGGAAAATTCCAATATTATCAGACGAAATTGACATTAGTCGTTAATTTATATTAAAGCAAATTAATGCAGCAAATTAATGACTGCAGCCTAGCCAACACCTCGACGTCTCGTTAATTAGTTATGCATTTTTCATATAATGTATCGTAAGGAGGGCAGAACGGAGCGTTCGACATATTAGAAATAGTCGGTATAAATCAGAATACCTTCGGTCGACGTAATTCTGACGTACGCTCACTTGGGGTGGCTACAGGTGGGCGTGAATGATGCAATCCACCTACACGTTATCCATTAAACAAGGATACATTATATATGCTCTTCCCCTGCGCAGAATCACGACGTCGCTGTCGTTTCCTTATACAATTATATGCTTAGCTTAATTAGCGAAACATGGATGAAAAGTGTGAAAGCGATTATTATGAATGAGGCGAGATGGAAGGGCCAATTAAATTTCAGCAGATTTTGAAATTGACTGACTTGATAAATACTTAATATTTATTAAGTATTTTGTAGTTTACTTTGCGTGACACGCAACTTGTAGAACATTTTATCGATCACCGACGTCTTTTCTTTAAAAGACCTTTAAAAAAAAATCTCTAAATTTGTTTAAACGATCATTTCAACCTAAGGAAATTAATAGACAAACCGACTAAATAGCAATAAATGGACTATTCTCAAATTTCTTCATTAAAGGACGATTTTGTCGTGTATATATATAATATAAGTGCGTGTATTTTATAAGATTAATCAACTCTTTATAAAATTGTATAATAAAAAAAAAAAATTGATTAATTAATAATTAATCGATCGAGTCGATCGACAAATTTCATAAATTTACTTACTCCGGAGTTTTTTTTAGCATTAAGAATTATTTTGATAAATTGCCGCTCATTTAAACGAAAGATAAATAACATGATCAAAACTTTATTTATCAACAAATAAAAATAGTAATAACAGCAATAATGATAGTAATAACAATAATAATAACAATAACAATAGCAATAATAATACGCAATAGCTTGCATTTGCAGCAAGCTTTACCATTTGTTCCTTATTATTTATGGCTTTTATTAGAAAATTAACAATTCTTAATGCAAGCTATTTTTATAAATACTTGAAATGAAGATATTAACAATATGATGATCACACCGGAGCGAGTTTAGTGGCCCAAATAAGGTATTTTTCACACCGGCATATCCAGATAATATCCAGCTATTCCTCCCTCACACCAACACACGCTTACGGCGCTCCTATACATCTTTACGAGGAGCGAATGACAGATAAAACGCGGGAATAGTACACAACTATATGTGCAAATCATTTCCCAAGTGTAAATTTTTACGGTTAGTTTTAATATTATCATCTAAATTCGACTTTGGTATAATACTTATTTGATATAATTTATTTATTTACTATTCGTAATATAAATTTTATTTTACAGGGCTTTTATATAGACTTGATATAATATATAAATATAGGTTAGATTATATTTTATTTTCGAAATATTATTTACGTTTATAACTAACTTTATTGCTTATATAATTGTCCATCACTTTTAAATGATATACAAATCATTAATTGCCTGAGAATGGCGAACAAAACAAATCAAACAACTTTTGATGTCAAGGTTTATTTTCTTATACCCAGCAAATATGAAAATTGCAATGAATGTACCGAAAATATGTGGGATGCTTATAATGTATGAAGGATTTTATTAAAACACTCCACGAAATTAAATTACATTAATTTAAATCTTATTTGGCATTACAAACTTTTTTAGAAATGTTCCGATTGGGATATCGATCCTGAATGGATTCCTGAAAAAGAATGTCTCAAAATTGATCCTGATAAGAAAGATGTATTTATAATGGAAGAATTTAAAGGAGAAGTGTTTGAAACGTTGCAAAATTTTAAATGCACGTGAGTAAAGATTTGAGATCTATATTAAAGATACATTCAATAAGTATCGAAGAAATTTATAGAAGCTACTTTGCAGTAAACTTTTATCGTATTCCTACTTATTATTGCTCTTTACTCTCATCATAATTCTTTCATATTTGTAGAATAATTTTTCTGAAAAAATTGTCATTAGTATTTTAGAAAAGAGCGCGGCAGAGTAAACATTAAGATACAATGCGTAATATATATCGGTATACACAATATTGTTGTATTTTATAAGTATAGATAGCAGAATAACAGAATTGTTATTGTTTATTAAACTGCAAATTTAAAGATTGTATTTTAACCTATATAAATTAAATTTTGATGAAATTTTATTTAATATTTTTAAATCTATAAAATATTATAAATTTTAATTTATAGAATTATTGGACCTCAATGCCTGTTATCTTGCTTTTTAACTGGTGAGTCAATTCCTGAAGGATCCACACCAGTACTTAATACAGCCATGAGAGGTTTCATAGTTACTGCATCTGGTTTCTCTGGCGCTATAAAGGTATATAAATCATGTACATATTTTGTAATATTACAATAATTATTTTGAAATGATAAATTGCTTTTAAAATTTGTTCTAATTTATATGTTTTTAGAATGAAATACAAAAGAAAATTGAATATATGGGTGGAGTTTTTACAAAACAGTTAAGAGCTAGCGTAACGCATTTAGTTACAAATATTGTTATGTCCGCTAAGTACGAGGTATAAAATATTAATGTAAAATTTATAAAATTAAATTTCATATAAAATTAGGTAAACGATGAATTATAATTTATTTTAAAGAGAGCAGTCGAACTGGGGATAAGAATTGTGACAATAGATTGGCTCCAATCAGTGTGGGAAACAAATTTGAAGGAGTCGATATCAGGATCTGATTCTATTTTTGATAAATTTACATGCCCTATATTTTTAAATTTAATAGTGACTTCCACGAGTCTTAGCAAACGTCAGAAAGAAGATATTAAAAAAATAATAAACAGTCATGGTGGTGTATGTACTTTTTCATTAATTTATACTTTAATATTATTATTGAATAATGAAAATTTACGTGTATGTATAATAGGAATTTATGGGTGTGTTGGATGGAACAAAAGTGAAAGTTGTCATAACATCGGAGACAAGCAGTCTAAGTGAAAAATTGAAATATGCTATGCAAAACAATATTCCCTGTCTTAAAGTGGAATGGGTTTATGATAGTCTTGAAGCAGGTTATTCTTTACCATTCAGCAATTACGTGATTAAGTATACTCAGGCATGTTCTACTCCAGAGAAAGCATCAGGTACAAGATGATCAAGTAGATTTAATTCTTTGTTTAAACCATAAAATAAAATATGTATATAATTAATAATGAAGGCTCTTTAACTTTAGAACTAGACAGTAAAGCTTGATAATATTATTTTCTTGATTTAATAAAACTGTTAATTAAATGATAATTAAAATAAGTTTGAAATAATATTACATTTTATTTTGTATGATATTAAATTCTTAATAACTGAAACTAATATATTTGTTATCTAAAAAATATAATTTATTTTTACTTATTATCAGATGTTGCTTCGTATCTATTTCGTTGTGATAATATAAATTATATATTCTATTTAATTTAAAAATTATGGATGCGTTTTGGTTACATATCTGTTAAAATATAAAATTAACCAAATAATTATTTCTTCGATAAAAATAATATTTTCTTTATTTCTAATGTTTATTTCTTTTTTTTTTTTTTTTTAAATAAATATATATAAAATTTGCCTTAAATACATTTACATAATAGAATTCATATGGCATTCTAATATTCTAACATTTTTCAGTTCAGGAACCATTTAACTTCTCCACAATAAGTGTTATATCAGGCGAAAATCATAATATGTATGTAGATGAAACTGTAGCTTCTGCAGTAACAATGAGTTCCACTGCAATGGGTACAACTTTAGCGACAGAAAATTTACCCACAGCTTCTAAAATCTCTTATACCACAATTTTAGAGAGATTAAATATTATTGAAGCAAAAAAGGCTGGTCCTTTTTTAGATGGTTGTAATGTGAGTTTATGTAATCAAATCATAAATTTGTAACTAAACTAATTACTTAAAAAATTCAGTTGTAAAACATTCAAAAATTTGTATTCTATAGAAGATAACGTTGATGGTTTCATGTAAGACTGGCACATAGAATGTCAATTCTTCATTAAACATTCATAATGTTGTTAAAAAAGAAAAAAAAAAATCTTTATTCTAAATTAGAAGTAAATTAAAAAAAAAATTCTTTAATTTATATGAATTTCAAATAGAATTATACATTTAATATACAAAATTTTTATATTCTTGTAATTAAACATTTGATATTTAAAAATTTTAAAAACTATTATTTATTCTTTTCTTTATTATTAATGCTATTTTTTAAACGAAATTTATTTCAGATTTATTTAGCTGGGATTTCATCCAATTATAGAGATAAATTAAATAGGATATTAAATGTTGGGAGCGCAACGCGACTCGATGATATATCAGAAGCTTTAACACATGTTATTGTTGGCGATCCAATAAAAGCAAAACACGATCTACAAATCATTAAATCTAAAGCCTTATAGTATGAATTTTTCTTAATGTCGTTAAATTCTTATTCTCTGTGAATTTTTACTAATTACTAATTGAAATTATTATAGTCCTTATATTTTAAAAATTGAATGGTTAGAAGAGTGCATGAAACTTCAGGCACCAGCACCAGAAGACAATTTTCTTTTTGATGGAAAAGACAGTATATATCCAGTTGCTCCTGAACCTCCATCACCTTTAAGTAAAAAAGTAAGCTTTGAAAAATTAATACTATTATAACAGCTATAAAACTAATATTTTCTTGGAGAATAAGAATTCAGCTTTTCTTGATGTTGAATATGTATATATATATATATATATATATATATATATATATATATATATATATTAAATGCACATATTTTATATTATATTTTAATTTATTTATAAGAAAAATTTATTAGAATTTACAGTTGTTACAACGGCCAAAAATGCCTGCTGCTCCACTATTTAGCGAAGATAAATCTAAAAGTATACCACACACTGATGTACATTCTGAAATTGTTGAACAGTATCTTCAAACAACTAATTTAGGTTGAATATTTTATATTATGCATATATCATGTTCTATTTTATTTCAAAATATTTTTAATACTTTTCCATACTTAATCTTGTTTTTATTATAATATAGCAAAAATCTGAAAATTATAAAAATTATTTCAATTAAACTTATAATATTACTTTTTTTTTTTTTTAATCGTAATTTATTATAACATTTCAAGAGTAAATTATAATATTAAATTTTGTTTTGTTAATTTATTAAATTAATTTTATATACCCAACATTATATATTTTTTTAATTCTCTAATAATAGAAATAATATCGTTTGTATTGTTTATATTCTAGAACCAGATAATTCCTTACGAGAAATTCTAAAACTTCCAAATAAGGATAACATTGAAAATAATTTAAGTTTAACAACAAATCAAACGATCAAAGATCGATGGAGTGACACAAGTAAAAAAAATAATGGTACCACTATGCAATGTGAAACGCGTGATGATAGTGCGATACCAATCAGTCAGGAATCTTTTGGCAGTCAAAAGATACTACAAGGTATGCTTTTTATAATATATCATTATAAGACTTTTAACACAAAAACTTTTGAAAACTATTTTTATTAAATTTATACGTAGGATTAGTTTTTATTATTAATGGTTTCGAGGAGGATGAATACACGCAAATTATAACGCAAATTCATGGATTAGGTGGTAAAATAATTGGCAGAAATTATTCGAGTATTCCCGATTATGGAATTGTTCCAAAATTTGGTGCTGAACTAAAACATACCGTTGGAGAAGTTGTTACAGATTTATTTATTGTAAATAAATTTTTACTTTTAATTAAATTAATAAAAGTTATTTGTTGATTTTAAAGAATTCTTAAAAGTTTTAGTATTATTTCAATTTAATTTTAGGAAGATTGTATAGACAATGAGAAATTAGTAAATGTTTCATATTATCACAGACCGATAATAATTCCAAAAAATGTAAAACCACTAAAAAATTGTGTGATTGGCATGAGCACTTATAGTGGAGTCGAAAGGACATATTTATCGAAATTATCAGAAGCTCTTGGAGCAAGGTATTTCATTTTTATAATGGATTCTATAAATTTTATGTTTTAATTAATTGCATTCAAAGAAGTATTGAAAAAAATGCATAAATAATATTATATATAGTTTCTAGTAAATTAAAAAATTACTTTTTGTACTATTAATAAGTTATTTCGTACAGTAAAAAATTAAATACAGTTTATGATATTTTCTTTTTTGTTCTTAAAAAACTCATTAAATTTTCTTGAATCTTTGACAACGAATTAGACTAAGATTTGTAACTTTGTCAATAATTTAACGTGTAAAGCCTGCTTATTTCAATACTGTAGATAAGGATTTTGATTGAAAATGATGTAGTTATCGATAAGTTCCATATCGTTGACATTTTTTCTCTCCCTTATTATCACTATTAATATTAATAATTATATGTTTTAATTCGATTAATAAAATTCTATATATATTATGAATATTATTCATTATATTTTTGCTGCAAATATAATTTATCATTGTGTCATAAATTTGAAGATAAAATGCGAATGTGTTTTTCATATAATAAAAGCTTATTTATCATAGGTACCAAGATACATTTGCTCGGAAAACTAATCTTCAAAAAAATACGTATAGCAGTACTCATTTAATTTGTCCTAAGCCACAAGGTGATAAATATAAAGCAGCAGTTAAGTGGAGATTGCCCGCTGTAACTAACGAATGGTTAATTCAATGCGCTGCTGAAATGAAACTTTTAAATGAAACTTCGTACCTTGTGGGCGAAACTATGGGTAATGATACTAATTTAATAAATATAAATCCCATTTACATTTTGATTTAAAAGAGAAAAACATTATTGTTGGATACAGCACCAGGAGAGTTTAACAGTAAAAATGTTGAAGTAGCAAATAATAAAGCAATGTTTATGAAACCAACATGTGAACCTACTTCAGTGCCAGAAGCATTTTCAGTATGTATTTATAGATCAACGAAAACTGACTAAATAAAGTCATTCTTTAACCATTTTTTTTTTTTTTTTACCTTTTTGTTAAAAGGCTTTTCATTACAGTAATTTCTTTTGTCTTTTACAATAATATTATTGGACATAATATTAATCAGATTTTAAAATATTAGTTATAAACGAATAGTTTTATAGAATATATTTTTTATATATTTAAAACGATTTCTTATTTCATTGTTCTCTGTTAATGAATATTTTAATATCTTAAAAATTCATTATTTTTTTGTTTAGAATGAAGAGCAGTACTTCAGAGGGACGAGCGAAACTCCTATTATTAATAAAAGGCTTAAGAATCTCATTAATGACAAGACGCCACAGTCGCCTTTTCATATATCCACTCCAGAAACTCCATATGGACAAATGTTTAAAGAAAATCCGTCACCCCGAACGAGAAAAGCGTGGGTAAAGTGGATAGATCACTTTCCGGATTTACCAATGGAAGAACCATCACCAAAGAGACGACGTAGCACAGTAAGTTTATTTTATTTCAATTTTTTGCATAATTTAGAAGTCTGAAAACAGTATGTTTTAGCCTTTATCAGAAGTCAAACGATTAGCTTGGGATTTCGTTACTGGGCGACTAGATTCTGAGGTACATATTTGTTAAAATTTTAAGAAACTACGCTTTTTAAATTATTCTATATAAATTACTCTTAATTAAATTTCTTATTAATGTAGGCAGCTCCTACAGCTGAAGTTAGTTCAAGACTTAACACGTTAACGAATGGAGATCAAGAAGAAGATGAAGAATCATTAATTAATCATATATCAACAAACAGAAAATTATCGTTTTCGGATGACGCTAGTCCAAATATAAGTATGAAAAATCCAGCAATAAGCATGTAAGTATATATAAAATATATTCTGTTATTTAATATTTAATAATTTGAATTTTCTCATAATTTGAAATAAATCTGTTTAAAGGCAAATTGCTAAATTAGATGAAATGCTTCAAAAAGCCTCAAATACTTCTGAAACAAGACCATCATCAAGTATCGATTATGGAAATCCATATCATTTAGAATCATGTTTACCCGCGGGAAGTTGTGAGTCACTATAAACAAAATCAAATATTAATTATTTAATTTTCTATTTTTTTTTTTTTTTTTAAAGTTTATTTCAAAATGTCACGTAACAATGCATTTGTACGTGAAGCATTAAATATTTATACAATATTAAATATTTTTCTTGATAAATAATGTTATCAACGGTGTATTATAATACATCGGCGTATTACGATTTTATATAAAGAAATTTTTTTTAATTTATAAATGAAAAAATTAATATAAATATTGTATCATAGGCTTAGTGAAAGAATCGCAACCAGATTCTGTTGGTTGGGAAGACCCTGTTAAAAGAATACCTCCTCCAAGACGAGTAACTAATTATAAATTACTAATACTTTTTCAATTAAATATGAAATACTATTATACAAATGTTTTGCATTTTAGTCTGTATTAAATGAAGATGCTGTTACTTTAGAAGATAATAATAGTGTGAAGGAAGCTAATGTTAAAGAAAATAAGTCTTTATTAATTAAACGAGAAATCCGGAAACCTAAATTTATGTTTTCAGGAATAAAAGTAATAATTTGTTTTAAGGGTCATCTAAGTTTGCAAACGTATTTGTTTATTAGTATTTAATAGCATATAATTTTATAGGATAAAGGTATAGCTGAAAAATTAATAAAAGAACTTGGTGGTGAAGTTTCGGTTGAATCAGCTTTTGATGAAACAGCTACTCACTTACTTTGTTTAAAACCTGCCAGAAATGAAAAAGTACTTAGTAGTATAGCTGCTGGAAAATGGGTTCTTCATTACCTTTACATTGAAGCATGCAACGATGAAAAGAAATTTGTCAATGTTAGTTTATGTTATAAGTATGCTTAATAAATGAATTTTAGTTTAGTATTTAGTAGTAATTTTATTATTATTTAAAAGAAGTTGAAATTCCTTTTGTATAGAATTTCAATTCGTACTTTACTATCAATTCTACAAATTATTCCACAGCTTGAAAAAACTAGTTGTGATATAAATAGGATAAATTATTTTTAAAATAACAGATTTAATTTATGAAATACATAAAGTCATATTGAAATTTTTGAATAAATCTTTTTAACATATGAACATTCACATTAATACAAAAATTAATTATTAACAAAAAGTCGATATGAAATCAAATTAATACGAAAATTAATCTTAATTATTTTAACAATGAGAGAAATAATTTATTAAGGAACTTAAAATAAGAAACAAAAAATAGTCCGAAAAAAAAAAATCGAAATTTTTATTTATATTTTATTTTTTAAGGAAGAAGAATTTGAATTAGGTAATCCAAAAAGTAAAGGAATAATACCAGAGGCTAATAGCGATAACGAAAAGATGATAATGAACGCTGCATACAGGTGGCGAATAAAATTACTAAATGATCCTGGTGGAGCCTTTCGACATATGGTTGCTCTTCTTTTTACACCAAAAGAAAAGAAAGAACAATTTGAAAGACTTATACATGCTGGGGGTGGAATTGTCGTTGAAGCAAAGTTAGTATTTAATGCGTATTAATGCCTACTTTCTGAAAATTAGTATATTATAAATAGTTTTTTATTTCTTTATTCAATAAATGATTTATAAATTACTCGTATAAAGCATTTTAAGACGAATTTAAAAATTTTTATATAAATTTTAGGCCCCCGTATGATAGTAGTCCAAGAGGGAAAAAAATTACACATTGTTTTATTCAATTGAAGCAAATTGATCAGCAAGTAGATTGGGCAATGATGGCAAGCAAAGGAATAATGTGTTTTCCACCACAATTTTTAAATGACCATTTAATGGCAGAGTATCCATTAAACCCACGAGATTGTGTATTATCAGAATTTCAGAAGTACCTAACATTAATTCCGAAATAGACAGACAAATGTGAAAGATCCATTTTTTTATGATGTAAAATATAAATTTCGTATTTTGTAAATTAACAATTTAATCAAATTTACTTCAGAATCAAATAAATTTGGTTATATTTTTATGAATGTATACTATAATAATTTGCGATCGACAGTATATTATAAAAATTTAGTTAAAATTTATTTTAATCAATTATTAGAGATTTTTTTAAAAGATAAAAAAACTTTACCATAACACCAAATACCATTCAGTTGTTGAATTCAATTGTATATCGTAATATATCATAGTATATCAGTGTATATGCCAGAAAAAATAATGCGTTTATTAATGACAAAATATAGGTAATTTTATAATTATATTTATATAATTATTTTTTATTTACCTAGACATATTGTTCAATTAGTTTAATAATTATCATAATTTTTTTATAACAAAAAATTGATCTTAGTCATATTTTAATGGGACTATAAAGTTTTGAAGCTACTATGTGTAATATTAATAAAACAACTTATACAAAAGGTCTTATTTTAAAATTAAATTAATTACTTTGCAAATTAAAAGGATTCCGATTCCGTGACAATTACATATTTCGGTTTTTGTAAAATTTTAAAATTAATAAGTAATTGCCGTTGAAAAATAATCATGTTCGATGTAGATGAGATTAATTAAAATTACATTTATCACAGAATTTACAGATTCTTTTCCAAACAACTCTGTACATTTGCATTTATCATTTTAAAACAAAATTTATAATAATAATAGTTATTATAAATAATTATGTATAATACAATGTTGAATCTAATATTCCTGTTTCCCAAATAACACATTTAGATTTAAGTGTTTAAAACAATATTCACTCTTTCTTATAATTTTATCTTATGCATTAAGATAATTGAATTACATTATTTATATAATAATAATTCAAAAGTTCTTAATTATTTGAAACATTAAAGAATTTTAGTGAATGCAGCCGTTTAGTTTATATATCATTAAATTATCTAAAAAAATATATAAAGGTATATATACAATATATGTATTAAAACATCAACACAATGAAAGAATAATCATTTAAAATTTTAAATAGCAATCGCTAGACATAAAAACGACAAAATTAATTTTTATATTTTTTCGACTAACTGAACCAATTTTTATTGAATTATTATTGTGTTCATACATATAGTAAGTGGATCGATGATATGATAGAAATTATTATATTTAACGTAATTTTTTTAATTAATTTAAATATCATAGAAAATATGTTTGGCAATCGTTACATCCTGTACAGTCGCAAAGTATCAACGATTGAGAGTAGAATGATAATTACGTAATTTATTAAAATTTATGTAAATTAAAATTAGCTAAAGTGCGCACGCAAAACTAAGTGATTTGGAAGTATTTTGTTATCAAAAAAATATGAAATTAAAATATAATAACATTAAATGGAATAAAAAAAACATATTATAAATATCAGTTTCAACAGGTAACTCGAATTTCTAAATATTTAGATATAAGATCTTGAGATTAACAGGATTAATATATTTACTGCTTAATAAGCAATTTTACTATAGTTAAGTAAATAATAGTCTTAATATATGTGGAAATTCGTTGATTGAAACGCGCCAAAAAAGTTTACAGGTTAGAATTAAATTTTAGATGACGAATAATCAGAATACACTTACTGTAATTTCATAAATAGTATCTGCAATTATAAAAATGTACAAGGTTATAAACCGGTTGCAAATTTAATGATAAAATTTGCACATAAATTTAACAATTTTTTAATAACAACAAATGTATTTAATGTCTTTTTGTTATAGTCATATTTTTTTTGCGATAGTAATGTATTTTAGTTATAACCAATTTATTGTTTCATTGTAGTTGTTTCTGATTTCCATTATAACTATTGCAGAAGAAGAATGAATAAGTCGCAAATTATTATTAAATTTATCAAGCTTTTTCTCTTTCTCTTTCTTTTTTTCTTCTTCTTCTTCTCTTCTTCTTCTTCTCTTCTCTTCTCTTCATTTTCCTCGGTACTTTTAATATTAATTTCACAAGAAATACAAATCGAATGAGTATCGTTATTAAATCATGTCTTCGTCACAAAGAAATCTTTGTCACATTTATTCCTTTTTTTTTTTTTTTTTTTTTTAACGTAAAAGACATTATTTCAAACTAAAACAAACTAATCTTGGAAAATTCTTGAATAGAACAGTGTCTTAAATGTAAATTAACGTCTGCATACAATATAAATTCACATCATGCGAATGCTTAATAACAAATAAAGGACTAAAAAGCATTCTACAACAATAAAAGTTGATTGTGCGTTATATTTTAGGTAAAGAAGTAAGCTTTCCATCTTATCAATATCAAGTCTTAATGTTAAATACTTAACAAGTAATTTTATTTGTTACACTTTCAATACATTTGATAAATTATTCTCCATAATTGTTAAATTTTATTATTAAACAATTATTAAATATTCTAATTATCAAACAAACTTGATGGCCCTTTTGATAAAATATTTAAAAATTTTATTTGTAAATATTTACTTTAATTAAATTTCTTAGTGAAATGTTCAATCGATTCAAAATCCCACTTATTTTGAACATTTTCTCTCATTAATTATTAGCTTGAACAATATTATTAATACGAATTATAATGAACAATAATTACATTAAATATTATTAAATAGCAACATATTGATATTATTACCGGCACTGGCATTGTTTCGAATTGATTATAATATGACAATTCATAAAATCAATATTTAATGTCTTGGCTAGCCAATCGACATTATTTCTTAATGTCAGATATTATTAGAATTTCGAATACACAGAAGAAATAATGGGTTATTCAAAAGAACAAGATTTATAAGTATGACAAACTAGCTTCAACCTTTTAAAATACGAAGAATCACAAAATCACGAGATAACCGCATCTACGACGGTTGAATAGGTATTTCCCCAGGTCTCCGTGGATTATCCATTTTAAAAATAAAATGTAATATTTCAAATATTTTTATACAATTCTATTTTATTATATTACAATTTTATTATATTCTATTGATGGGTAATCATTTAATTCGGCTCAAATATTAATTTTCATCATTATATACTTTACAATTAGTAAAGAAATGTCACTGTTCGTTTCAAACTTTGCAATATATTTTTTTAATTAGGAACAACATAACTGAATCTAATGGCGTATCATACATGGTTACATGTACAAAGAGTGCGGTAAAAAGTGTAAAAAAAATTTCTTCGTTATTTCTAAATTTTCAGAATTCATCGTACGTTCGTAATCATATGTAATCCCTTGTTTGTCTATTTCAATAAAATAAAAGTACCCGTTGCATGGTGCGAAAATGTAGTTTTTTTTTTACTACAAATTAATATTACAGATACAGATCACGAAAAATCACAATATCATCGCCAAAACTTTTCAAAATAAACGATTGAAATTACAAATTAAATATTGTTATTTACTCAAATCATTATTCGTCCCCTTAAATACTTTGATTTGATCAAATTCGTTTTCCTTAAAATATCACTATGTACAACCCCGTCCTGTTATTTCATTTATTTAAATTAGTAAATATTGAAGAATTATTGATTTTCACCAACTATTTTTATACAATATGTAATGAATCTTTTAGAATCAAAAATATCTTACTGGAAGCTGTTATAAAATCGTTAAGACTTCCTTGCAATTTCAAGCCATCTCATATTACGTTCACTGACCAGCTATAATCCCAGACCCTTCCACCGAAATAGGATAATAAGGCGCAGTCTAATTACACCGATGTTGATATCTTAATACATCCTAAATTTGAAGAAAGACCTGCCACTTCTTAACATTTTTAGGTAGAAAAGATCTACTACTACCCCATTAGGCGAAGAAATAACAAAATTTATTTCTTGTTAAGTTCAGTAATATTTTATCACAGGTATATACGTATCGTTAAAGACACACGTGACAAACCCCATAGTCGAGTAGATAATATCGTCAAATAATTTTTAAATAATAAAAATAATTGAGACATCATTGATTGTAGAATAAAAACAATATTTGCAGAATAACAGTGTGTAAGGTAAGCCAATTGATTTTATAATTTCTGTGGGGAGTTAAATATAGGCATTAAATGTCTAAAAGAACCAAGACGAACAAAACGTTAAGTAGGATTTTACAATATACAAGAATTTTAATAGATCATTTTCTCGATAATAGTTATATAATTATTTTAAATTATTAGATAAAGATTTACGATAATTCATCGACTTCTTCGTACAATTAAAATTTCATTATTTGAAATGATTAAAACTATATTTGATAATATAATAAATATAATAAACCATATTTGATAATATAATAATATTGAAAAAATAGTATAACTAAATAACTTGTAATGAGAATAAATGATAAATTATTCCATCGAAATGTTAATTTTTTTATGAAAATATTCGTTTTACTAAATATTCATAATCTATCAATTATTAAAGTATATCTAGATTAAAAATTCTTTTATCGTTGTTAAAAATTACAAGCTTTTTCCTTAACATCAATTTACAGCATTAACAAGATTGATAAATTTATATAATAATCAGCTGTTTAATATAAAAAAAAAAAAATTTATATATTTTTTGTCTCCCGGAATGTTCCTTCTTGACAAAAGTTACGAAAATACTTATATAATGCTTTAAATTTAATTGGATCGGAATTCCTCATTAATCATATTATATTATTTATTTAACTAATAGTAATTCTTTGAATTTAAAAATAAACAGTGCGAACAATAAAAAAAAAATTATTAAATTTAAAATCAATGTTAATTTTATTTTGGACATTCGAATTATGAAATATAATTTAAATAAATTTTAATGCTTCGATTGCAATTTTCATTTATGTTTTTTAAATATAAAAGATTATGTAGTTTATACAAATTGTACATATATATATATATATATATATATATATATATATATATATATATATATGGTGAATGCTACTTGAAACGAATATTAATATTAATGAATTTAAATATCGTATTAAATAATAATCTAAAAAATTAATAAATAAATATTATAAATAGAATGTAATGTATCATAATTTATCAGTATTTTATAATGAGATACTATTACCAATATAAAATGATTAAAAGAAATTAATATTTCATAATTTTAATTTAAATGAAAAATTGTCGAATTATACATGTTAAGTGGTAAATGTTGATCCATAATTGTATACTTATGTTTAATAAAAGAACCCGCTGAGTCTTTCAAATCAATATTAATGCAAACTTGTAAACTTTTCTATTTATTATTATATATGTATGTTATATATGTAAAGTTCTCTTATAATTTATCGCTTATAATTAACTTTCGAGGTTGATCTGATTATGTGACATTGTGACAAAACATCTTAAATGAGACTCAATAGCGTATTGTTAAAATGTTTAAGATCGCCGCTATAAAAGATCATTGTGGTGGACATTGACGTGAAAGTAACTATCAACTGCAGTAGCGAATCGTACTATCAATGATACACGATTAAACATTATAACTATGGATTTCATCACATGGCTTTACATTTTAATTATTATTCATTTCAAATATTCTTTAGGGTTAGATGTTCCATATAATGACTATAGTAAGTATTCTATCATCATATTTTAATTATGGACTGATATTCCAATTAATTGAGTTATCTTTAAAACTTTGTAGACACGCAAGAAAAATATTTTGACTTGAGTGATAAAAATAGCATAACAATTATTTAAGTGCAATTATGCCATTAACACTAACTGATTTAAATTTATGAATGTCGTTCGCATGATTATAAGAACTTTCATTATAAATTGATTTATTGAAATTGTATAGAACACATATTATTCGGTTACGCAAATTGAAAACGATTGTAAAATAATTTACTAAAAATATTTATCTTGAAGTGATATACAATTTCTTGACGAAATATTAATAAAAATTGTGCTTTCTTTTAAAAATCTATTAATTAGGTATGATTGAATTTTAAAGTATGCCTTTCACTATTAAAGATGTTCATGGAAGTAAGCATTAAAAAAACTCAATTTGTAATATACTAAAATGTGAAATAAAAAAAAAAGTTTTCGTCGTATAATAATAGATATAGAAAATATACAACTAACTATATTATAATAATATATTCAATTTTTTAATGAAAAGTAAATTCATTGTTTTAGTAATGAAGCTTATCTAAACTAAACAAAATAAAAATTTTCTTCTTTTTCGTAGTGAATACTATAATATTGTTTATTTTTTGTTTTTTTTTTTATAGAATTTTTTAGCACATTAGATCATTTAGAACCACAAGCTCCTGCAAATATTCAAAAAATTGCAGTTGAAAATTTAATTGAAAGAATCTTAAAAAACGATGCAAATTTGTTCAAAGTTGTTATTGAAACAAATTTCAAATTTCAAGGGAAAGATATGTTCAAGGTAAATTACTTTTATTTTTATGATGAATTCATCATTCTTATAAAATAACCTTTTAAAATTATAATAGAAACTTATAAATGTATTCTTAAAGCTTACAAAATTGTTTTTAATAAAAAGTTGATTATATATGTTGTTTTATGTTTAATGAAATTCTGAGTATCTATAATGTGTTAGAAAAAATTTTTTAAAGTTTAAACGTAAGCTTTAATGTATTATATTTTCTAATTAAATAAAGATAATTAAGAAAAAAGTATAATAATACTATTGTCAATGTTATCGATAAATAATACATATTATTGGTCAGTTGATAAATTTGTTGATCTTTTTAAAAATTTCACTTAGTATTTATAAAATTTTTTGACCATTAAATTAATAACATTAACATTAAATATTCATAAAATATGTAAAATATATTATACTTAAGAACTTCGTTTAAATTTAAAATTCTTAAACCTTTTAATACGGGCTCTTATTATAATCATAGAATATATTTATTAGAAAATTTTTTTTAGAAAAAATATAAATATTAAATCTTTACTAAAGAAATTTTTTTTTTGTTTTTTTTTTGTTTTTTTTTGTTTTTTTTTTTGTTTTTTTGTTTTGTTTTTTTTTTTTTGTTTTTTTTCTTTGAATAAGAAGATATGAAACTTTTTGTTCTGTTACGTATAACACATTTGTAGAACTGATAGCATCATAAAAAGATGAAAAATTTTTAGTATAACAGAGTTTCCAATATCAGTACTACAAAATAATTTTATACTATGAATATTAAATATTTTTCAACGTTGAATTTTACTAATTCTTAAATAATTTATTATTCATTATTATGAGATTTAGATTACTGTGAGAACTCAATTGCTTTGATGTATAGCTAAACATTCAATATTTATAGAAATTCCAATAAAATAATTATTAACAGAAAAGAAAAGCATTTTAATAATACTTTTTTTATATTTAAAATAGTTGAAAAAAATTGACGCAAAAAGAATAGAAATTACCGGTAGCTCCGGTGTCGCGGTTGCATGGGGCTTACATTATTATTTAAAAACGTATTGCAATTGTCATATATCTTGGAGTGGTTCGCAACTTAGGCTTCCAGCAGTTTTACCCGAAGTTGACGAAGTCGTTGCCTCTAACGATCGGTAAATATCATTTCTTATATTTCTTACTGTTAAGAAACATTTATTTATTGAAATCTTTAGCTTTAAATACTGTTGTTAGGCTTAATTTCAAATGAAAATAAAGATTTAAAATTTAAGGGAATAGAGAGCCTCACATGCGTAAAGCATAAATTTTATATATTTTTTTTTTAATTTAAGAAGAATATTTAATATAAATTTAATATAATTTAATTTAATACTAACGTTGATATCAATAATTTTCTAAATCTTGCTAGTATTTTTCTCAACTAAATATTTAAAGCGCACGAATGCATTTCAATTATTTAATGAATGTACAACGAAGGGACCCTTTTACATTCTAATATATTTTAGTATAATAAATATATTAGTATTTATGCCTTATAAAATATAAAATAATTGTATTAATGTCATTTATAGCATAGAAATTGAGTTTAGGTATTTGTTGAATTTTTATCACTGAAATATAATATAAGACTACATTTCCTTAGTCGAATTATGTTCGAAGTACAGAACAAAATTACAGAATTGACATTATTGAAGTTGTACTACTTCGTTTACTTCAATCAATTATACGTTTTATTTGAATTGCAGAATTTAAAAATAATTATAGTATCATACGCAATAAAATAACAATTTTTCAATAATCGATTATTAATTATACGTGCAGCATTACGAAAATGATGTTGTAATTAATAATTTCTATTGTAATATAAACGTGGATGTAATTAGTTTTAGATATTATCAAAATGTGTGCACAGCTGGGTACAGTTCTGCATGGTGGCAATGGAGTCAGTGGGAAAAAAATATCGATTGGATGGCACTTAATGGTATAAATTTGGCTCTTGCTTTTCATGCTCAAGAAGCGATTTGGGAAAAAGTATATATGAAATTCAATTTAACTAAAGAAGAGGCTCGCTTACACTTTGGTGGCCCCGCATTTTTACCTTGGTAATTCAATATTATATGATTATTGCTAAGTGTTTTTCTTTCATTTGGGTTCATGTTCAAACAAGAATTCGATTAAACGCCTAATTAACAACAAGATTTATTCAGGTTAATCAAATCAGAAAACTGAAAAATATATTTTTAATATGTTTTATTTATCTTTTGAGTTGGTAAGGCGAAATACTTTAACGTGTACAAAAATTAGGTTATTGCCAATTTATTTAGGATGAAAATTGTTGTAAAAGAACGTTTTTTTTTTTTTTTTTTAGCAAGCTGAATCGTTCCTTTTAAACGTATATTTTTGGTATATTTTCGTCATTTACAGTAACTAATATGTATGATAAAGAAATTAGTCATACGCATCGATTGCATTCCTCATAATAAAAAATAATTTGTAATTTATTTCAAATTTATGTAAAACAGTAATTTCGACTTTTTTTTTTTTTTAAATACACAATTCATTAACTAATGCCAATTAAATTAATGCAACAAAATTTATAATACATATTTATGCTTGAAAGATTCGCTATAATATTGTTAATACATGGTCCATAATGTGCATAAATATTAAAAATTTGAATCGAATATCATTTTAAAAATTTTAACTAGCGTTGGAAAGAACGGCAAATCAGCAAATCAGCAAATCAGCAGTTTACGTCTAAAAGATGTTTCATAAAATATTTCAGGTCAAGAATGGGTAATATTCAAGGTTGGGGTGGTCCGCTCTCCGATTCTTGGCATACCCATACCATTGAATTGCAGCATTTAATATTAAATCGTATGAGAGAATTGGGAATTATTCCTGTACTGCCCGCATTTGCTGGACATGTGCCTAGAGACTTTATTCGCATTTTCCCCAACGCTCATGTAATAAATATCAAACAATGGAACAATTTTGAAGACGAATATTGTTGGTGAGGTTATTAATTATCCAATAATACATATTCTGCTTTAACAGTTTAAAGCATAAGATAGACATTTTTTTTTTTTTTTTTAATGACATCATAATACACAAAAAGGAATAAAACAACGTTTATTATTTTACGCGATCCTATTGCATGAATGGATACATAAATTTACATTGAATTTTTACGCATTCTATTTTTTAATTAATATTTAATGCTTTGAATATATCATATTTATAATTTAACGGTTACTTATTAAGAATTTAAACATTTGTACATTCGATCATTAGTGACAATATGATGGAACTATATGCATTATTATTATACGTATGATAATTAAGTGCACATAATTAAAGTCATCCCCAGATTCTTATATTTATAGAAAGACATAAAATATTTTTGTAATAATATCTCAAAGATATCTGGAGAATGAATAATTATCAACTTACTAGTTGAAGGTTTTTTATTTAAGTAACTGCAAATTCATCAGTAGATTTAACTATTTTATTAAAAAAGAACTATTTTTTTTTTTTTTTTTTTTTATAAATTATGTTTTTTTTTAATTGATAATCATATACAAATTATTACAAATATTTAAAAATTTTAATAGTTTATTTAATAAAAAAGAAATACAATTTAGTCGGAAGCTTTTTTTAGGCATTTATCAAAAAATAAAAATAGCATAATATCGAATCTTACGTGTAAAATTATTTTTAAAAATTTATGAATTTAAGTTATATATTATTTCGCAAATCTATACCTCTACAGATTAATTTTATTAAAATATAATATATAGTTTTTCATTAATTTCATTAATGGTATTATTATAATTTGCAGCCCATACATGCTCGATCCAACTGATCCCCTTTTTCAAACTGTAGGACAAGATTTTCTAAAAATGGTACAAGTATCTATAATGATATATATTTGAAAAATATATATATATTTTTTCATTATTTATCGTATTATTTAGTACATTGACGAATTCGGTACAAGCAACATATATAACTGCGATTCTTTCAACGAAAATGATCCTCATCGAGGTGATCCTGAATATCTAAGTAATACTGGAAAAGCAATTTTTAAAGCTATGAGCAGTGTTGATCCAAACGCAATTTGGTAATGAAAAGAAGATTATATAAATGAAATATATACACATATACACATACTATAAATGTCAAAAAAAAATTTTGAATACACGAGTAAAAACATTTCAACGCTTTAAGGGAGCCATTTAGCCTCAAAATTAAAACAATTCGTTTATTATTTTGCTTAAATATATTTTAAACTATATCACTCTAGTTGTATAGAACAATTAATGGAATAAATAATCGAGAAGAGAGAAAAATCGTGTAGATACAAAATTATTGCCATTTATTATTTAATATTTGTTTTAGTACGTAATTCAACTTTTAAATTTTCTAGTGTCTAGAGCTTTATTATATATATATATATATATATATATATATATATTTGTTCTTCTACTTTTATTAATACATTAGATTTTTCTAAATTAACAAACAATTTTATTTACATATCTGATTATTTTTTTAAATTTTGATAATGTAAATTTCCTTTACCAATTTCATTTCAATTCTAGATGTACACAAATCGTGAATATTGCATTATATATCCGAAGGATAAAATATCGAGGTCGTATAAATGTATGTTTTTATGGTAAATAGCACACGCAAATACACGATAATCATGACTCAAATTTGGTGAAATCGATATGAAAGAGAAAAAAAAAATTAGTACGGCAATCAATGACTATATTTATATAAATTAATTTTATAATTATAGATTAATTAGATTTCTGAGGATGTTTATAGCAATTACAGAGATTCGTATCTGTAATGGTAAATACTATGTGAAATTTAATGTTTAATTTTATCGTTCCATGCACGAGGAAATACAGAAAAATTAATTCACTATTAAATAAATATCAGATTATAAGTAAATACAATAGGCGAAATATTATTTATTTAATATTGGGTAATAAAGCTACAAATTTGTAGTTTAAAGCAATAAATGTGGGATTATGTGAGGGGATTAAAGCTCAGTAAGCACTTCTACGGAAGCTCATTGTCCTATTTGCAGACTCTAAACATGCAAATGAGTTATTTGAAGAACGTAATGACCAGATATTTCTAAGTAATATCAGATTATTGTGAGTAACCGATAATTTATATTTTTCATTCATTATTGATGGTTAAAAATACATTTTACCGATGATCGATCCTTTATACAATACATTTCCTTAATATTTAATTTTATTATTTTTACAAAATATTTTTATAATATATTAAAAAAAAAAAAAAAAAAAAAAAAAAAAAAAAAATTCATTAACATCGTAATTATATTATTTAAACTAAAATTTATTAATTTCTGTCGCTTCATCTGAATTTCTTAATTTATCAATGACGAAAGCTTATATATATATAAATTAAATTAAATACTTGAAAAACGTTATTTCACATCAATATCCAGGATATGAATTTGGCCAGATTTTAGTTTGGAACAGCAAACAAAGCATTTTAACGACAAGTTTATAACTTCATTTATGATAATTTGCAAAATAAATCTTTTGTCACTCTTTAGCCACGCAATTAAGTATATCTAAAACATGTTTTTAAAAATCGTGCTTATTTTCACTCTCCTCAATTAAAATTGCAGAAAAGACCTCTCGGTTAAGCCTCATCAAATGACTCCCTTAATAAGATTGACATTTTAAATTATAATAGGTAGTAGGCATATATTTACTTTTCTGAATATATTTTACTTATAATATTGACATATCTTATTTACAAGGCTAATGCAGGGTTGGCTATTCGTGCACAGTGCTGATTTTTGGACTATGGAACGAGTTAAAGCTTTCGTAACATCTGTTCCAATTGTACATACATAAGTATAATTTAAAAAGAAAATTTAAAAGCACACGTTCAAAGCATAGGTTAATTATGAATTGATTTTAATCTATCTTACATTTAGGGAAGAATGATAGTCCTTGATCTTCAGTCGGAGCAGTTTCCGCAGTACGAAAAGTTTCAGTCCTACTTTGGCCAACCTTTCATTTGGTGTATGCTTCACAACTTTGGTGGTACTCTTGGAATGTTCGGGTCATCTGGAATTATAAATGAAGTATATATATATATATATATATATATATATATATATATATATATATAATAGCATTAAAAAAAAAAATTCTTTCTCTAAAGAAATATCTTTAGTTTTAAGTTTTAAATAAATTAATATAATGTATATAATAAAATAATTACTATTAGCCAATATCGTTGCGTAGTAGATTAACACATCAAGATATTTCTTTCGAATAATTAACCAATCGGTATTAAATATTTTATAATACTTAATAACAAATCAAAGAATTTTTAGGAATATGGGATATGCTGTATAATGAATTGCGTAGAATCAATTAGAATGTAATAGCTAAAGCTTGTTTCCTAATTTAATTACATAATAACAACAAAGAGTCATTGATAAAAAGCTAATAAATTAAATATAAATTAGCATATTTTACATAACTAATTGAATGTAAATGACTTTTTCAACTTATTGCATAAATCTATTCTATGCATTGTCAATGACGATTTATAAAAATATTAATCTGCCGGATGATAAAAAATAAAATGTTGCATTCGAAGTTTGCTCGAAAAGCAAATTACATAATAATACATGTTATTTTTTATAAGACTAGTATGAATAAATTTTCTATACATTATTTCGTAAAAATAATGATTACATCTAACATCGGATTAATATTTATATTTATAAATGCTTATCCCGTAATTTTAGAGAGTATTTGCGGCAAGACAAATAAATGGCAGTACGATGATTGGCACAGGCCTTACTCCAGAGGGAATTAATCAAAATTATGTGATATATGATTTGATGAGTGAAATGTCGTATCGTCAGAAGCCGGTCGATATAAACGCATGGTACATGGATTAATTATAAATATAAGATAATCAATTATGATATAACCGTATTTATTTCAATTGGATCGATAAATTACATTAGTATATTCATATTAAAAAGAAAAAAAGAAAAAAAAAAATTAACACATAAAACGACAATTAATTAGAAAAGAATCTATTTATGTTTCTAGTAATCAATAGTCAACTAATTATGTCAATAGTAAGCCAATTGTTATTTGTTTAGGTTTGTAAATTATGCTGTAAGGCGATATGGCTTTGCCAATGACTGCATTAAAATTGCCTGGCAGAAATTAGGAAATACAATTTATAATTACAGTGGTGTAGCCAATATCAGAGGACAATATGTTATAACAAAGCGTCCGAGTCTTCACATTAAACCATGGGTAATTCAAAATACATATATATATATATATTTTTTTTTTTGTTCTTTGACAAACGTTTGATCTATTGTGTAAATGAAAAGGAAATTCGTATAAAACTAAGTTTATCAATTAAAATGTTTTTTTCTTTTTAGTATTGGTATGATTTAAAATCATTTCTTTTAATATGGGGTAATTTTATCAAAGCAGACAACGAAACAACAAGAAGCAATTTATTTAAACACGATATTGTTGACATTACAAGACAAGCGTTACAACTTACAGCAGATTTTATATACAATGACATTAAGGAAGGATATAAGCTTAAAAATATTACACATTTACAGTAAGTTTTTACATATTTTATTTTAATTAATATACATCCAAGTATTATCTAATCCAGGAGATAATAAAATCGAGATTTAAATACACCCATTATTTAACATTAATTAAAGTATGAGATTTTTATTTATTAATATCCCCTCTTTAAACTCATATATATGATTATAATGTATAATTTATAAATAATATTTAAAATAATTTATTTTTTAATTTAATTCTCTGTTTTCAATAACTAAACAATTGGAATTCGAGATGAGAAAAAATACAAATTCTAAAATGATTTTTCGATAGACAGTAAAATATACTTAATTTTAATTAATACTTTAATTATTTATTAACATTAATTAATTTCAAGATTTTTTCACTTTAAGAGAAAAATGAAAAATAACATAATGTGATTGAAAAAATGTTTCTAGGTGGACAAAAAGTAATCTTAAACTTAAGGCACAATGGAGTTTAAAGAAAAGGGATCGTTTACGTTTATAAAAATAAATTGCTTATCTTGCACACTTTTTTTTTTCTTCAGGTCGGCATCCTTGCAGCTTCTCGAACTGTATAACGATCTCGAAGAGATTCTCTCCTCGTGCAAGGATTTTCTACTAGGCGTTTGGCTAAATGATGCGAGGATCCTTGCTCCCACGGATGACGAGCAACTGCTGGAGAATTACGAGTTTAATGCACGAAATCAGATAACCCTGTGGGGCCCGAATGGTGAAATTGTCGATTATGCGAATAAACAGTGGTCCGGTGTCGTACACGACTACTTTCGTCCAAGATGGGTGATATTTTTGAAGGAGCTGGAAAATGCAGTGAATAATCATAATGAGATCAATGAGCGTCGAATTCGTCAAATGATTTTCAATGAGGTTGAACTACCTTTTAGCTACTCAAGGAAGCTCTATCCGACCGAAGCAAAGGGTGCATATTAAAAAAAAATCCTTTTATCATAAACTCATTCATATCACTCCGTAACAATTTTATTCAAATTCTTTAATTATACGTATGCGCATACAGACTGCATTATCATTTTTTAATAATTACGTTAAGAACAGATGAACGCTATACGTAATATTATTATTAGAATGTTGTTCTTTTTTTTTTTTCAGGTGATAGTATTCAAATTGCAATCAAATTATACAACAAATGGCAGAAAATATGGAAAAACAATGTTTAAATATCAATTGAAGCTCGCTATAATCATATAGAAGAACGATTAAACGAAAGTTAAATATTCGTGTGTCTAGCAATGTATGTAATACTCGTGATAAATTTAATTATTTACTTAATATTGAATTTTTCTACGCTATAATTTAACTGTTTATATAACGTGTATATTTTACCAAGTGAATTAAAAAATATGAATGTTGAATTACCGTGTCAAAGTAAATGATTTTCTTTGTCTCTCTTTTAACATGAATTTCGCGTGAATTTATTTTATTTAAAAGGCGTATTGAATTGAATATAATTATTGAAATATGTAGACTGAACGAAATTGGTATTTTTCTAGCGACGGAAAATTGAATTTGATGGAAAACGAGTATTTCCATATAATTATTAACAATCCACACCTTATTTAAATGAATAAAGAGCAAGAGAGAGCAAGAGAGAGCAAGAGTGAAGCGGTGGGGGGGGGAGATTATAAAGAACGCTAGAAATGAAATGAAATGGAAAGAAAAAGAAGATAGAAAGTGAAACGAAAATGACCAAAGCTTATCGATGGAGAGTAAGTTGTGCGAGTTAAATGAGAAATTCCTAATTAACTACATATGCAATGGTGAGCAACGGACTAAATTGAAGATTTAATCCAAAAGAATACCAAGAGACTCCAAGATCGTGGCACCTCCGCACACGTTGTCTCCTTTTTTTTTCGAAACAGACGACAGCACCAAGAGCATTCGATAATCGGCATGTCGCTGCTGCTCATCACAGCATTCTACAAACAGTACCGCGTCGTCCATTAAATGCAACCTCTTTCGTCATTTAACAACCAAAATGTAAATATGACGATAAGCCGCTTGTAATGATGGAAAACTAAACTAAAATGTAAATTACTGAAAATACGCCTTATCGACGCGATGATCGGTAAAACCGTTCGCGTACATTGCTGGCGTACCGACCTTGCATTCCGATCTCCCCCTCCCAGCCCTTAGCCGCGGTGAACACAAGCGCAGTCAAAACATTCGTCAGTATACCTACTGCGCGCATACGTCGTGCATGCCGTCGACGTCTAGTTGGTGATGTTCTTCTCCACCCCTCTCAGCGCCTCCCTCAAGTCTATACGTATTCTTCCACGGCACCCCACGCGCACGTAAGTTTCTCGTTCACCGCAGCGCGTGAGAGAAGCAAAGAGGGGCACGGCAGTGGCGGTGGTGGCGGGAAGGGGCCGGGGACAAGAAAGAGAGAGAGAGAGGAAAACCGCATTGTGTAGATATAGTCCGGTGCGACTGCAGTGTAGCAGGTTAGCCAAAGAATATCCGAGTGTCGCCGTCGTCATCGTCGTCGTTGTCCCCGCCGCGGCTATTTTATTTTTTTTCTCCGACGTTGTTCTGCTCAAGGGATGTAGAGAGAAAGAGAGAGAGAGAGAGAGAGAGAGAGACCTCAAGTCTCAAGTCTTTCCCCTTGAACACCGAGAAGAGGAGGGCGTCTGCAGGTCGTCAATGCGGACAATCTCCCTCTCTCTCTCTCTCTCTCTCTCGTTTACTTTTTTTCCTACTTTCTTTCTTTCTTTCTTTCTTTTTTTCTTTTTTCCTTCTTTTCTTCGTTCGTTTGTTCGTTCGTTCGTTCGTTCGTTCGTTCGTTCGTTCGTTCGTTCGTTCGTTCGTTCATTCGTTCATTCCTTCATTCGTTCGTTCCTTCCTTCCTTCCTTCCTTCCTCCCTTCCTCCCTTCCTTTCTTTCTTTTCTTTTCCTTTTTTTTTTATTTTTTTATCAACACTCCTTATATGCGCACACACACGCGCACCCGTACGCACACGCATGCCAGCGCATGCATGCACGCATAATGCATGTATATATTTTACTCCGACAACCGTCTTTAGTCTAATTTTTTTTCTTGCATCTTCTTGGTTAACAGGGGGTACGTATACACATCGCATACTCGACATCGGCTTACGAGCTTTTATATACCTAGGAGATGTATATACACGCGAGATTCACACCGCTCTGGATATATTTCACAACTCTCTCCAACTCTCTCGGGCACCAGTAGCAACGCTTCAAGATAGAGAGAGAGATAGAGAGAGAGAGAGAGAGAGAGTGAGTGAGTGAGTGAGTGAGTGAGGAGAGTGAGCAAGAGACGGAGATAAACTGAGCATACGTGTGTTGTATGCACTTTGTATGACTGTAAAGTAAGAGAGACAGGAGAGTATTTTACATATCTTTTCGTGTGCGAAGTACGATACTCCTCGTTGAAAACGGAAGAGAAGGAAGAGCCTGTTGACCCTGAGGAAACTCAATGGAACCTTCCTAGTTTTTTATTTATTTGGCAGTAGAGAAGCGTGCAAGTACTCGTTGTCCTCTCTTTGACAATGGCCAGTGTAGGGCAATAGCAACAGCATCAACAGTTCTTGACTTTGAACGTTTACACTATCAGCATTCACCGCGACATGAACATTTCTCGGTGCTGTGCTTATAATTTTTTCTACGCCCGATCGTCTCGCTCGTTCGTTTCCTGGACATTTTGATATCCTGTGGTGGGTGTTTTTCTCTCTCTCTCTCTCTCTCTCTCTCTCCTTCCATCTATCTATCTATCTATACGTCTGTCTATTGGAATTTTTTGAACCGCATTATTGTACAACATAAAAAAAAAAAATTTTTACTCCTATCGTTACTTACAAAACTTTATAAGAATAGAAATCACCTTTGAAGTGTTTTAGGTAATTTTTTAATCAAGTAAGTGAATCGATATTATTTTTAACTGTTGCTTTCAATTCCTTTACAATAGAACTCTAAGCATACAGAAATAATCATCATTATTGAGCATCAAATCACCAAACTTGTAATAATGTATTATTGACAATTGCTAATTTTATTGACAGTCTAGAAGAAATATGCTCTTTTAAATAAACATTCGTTCATTTTAATTGCAAGTATAAGTTCTTAACCCTGAATCTTGAATTTAATAATTAAAACCCATTGACTTGGTACTCTATTGTAGTTTTGTATCGGATGATCTTCAAGTTTAGAACGATTAGGTTTTCGGTAACATGAATTTATTGTTTTAAACCTAGATGTAAATGTAATAGATATCACACGTTAATAAAATATTTGCTACGGATCATGGAATTCCAAAACTTTATATTCATAGATGATTTTTGGCCTTTAAATATAATAATTAGAAAATTGAAAAAAGAAGTAAAATATTTTTAAACGTTTTGTACATATTATAAGTTGGGGTACATTGTTTCATATATTAGTTACGTGCAAATTAAACTTATAATGTTCATTTTTAGCAGTTATCTTAGATAATAGTTACAATAGCATTCCATTAATGTTTCAGATAAAGCAAAATGGCCTTACGAGAATTAGTCGAGGGTGATTGCGGAGGGCCAAACCCTCTGATTCGCCTCACATCACACTTTGTAAAAGACCATGGCTTAAAAGAAGAAGGTGTAAGAGATCTATTTGGATCTATAGATCCTTTTGAAACTGGTAACTCGGATCAACTTGTCAAGCAGTTTCTTGAAGAATCTTCTGTTCATCCGCAAACCTTCAAAATGGAAAATATTCTTCAAGAGATGCGAGAAATAGATCAGAGTATATATCCACCAGTTACAGCACCAGGCGTCGTTGAAGAATTAACCAATCAAGACACAGCGTGGGCTAATCAATATCTACAATCTGGTGGACACTTTCAAGTAAGCTTTTGTTCAAATTATATTTTTGAAAATTATATTAAAATACATTTAGTTTTTCAATTGCATAATTGAGGCCAGCTTACTTTTATGAAATTGCACGTCTCATTGTCACACGTCAATGAGACAAACTATTTATTTTCAAGCGTAATTATTAAGTTTGCTATTTATCACTCGCTCATAACAATTAAATAGTAATTAGATACAAAGTAATGGAAATTAATGCCAATGAACCTTAATTTTGTCATGTGATATAAAGACTTTCTAAAAGTTATAATTTAACAACATATTGAAATTTTTAAATACACGTTAGTAATATTTTTATTCGTATTTTATAAATCGATGAATAATTTCAGTTTTCTTAGCTGGACTATTATTAGATTATCGAATGAAAAATAAAAAGAAGAAGAAATTTTACATTAAGAAGTAATAAGACTAAATAAATTAATTAGACTTAATTAAATCGATTGGTATAAATCTAACTCTATTAACGTAATAAAAGCGTACTGAAACGTAATTTAATGATAAATTAAAGCGAGCTCTATTTGAACTTGCAATCATCAAAGATTTACTTTAAGCCTTCTTTGTGTAACAAATACACCTTATTTATATAGGAAAATCACAAAGACGATATTTGGAATGTTCAGCCGATAGCTTCAAATGCCAAAGTTGCCTTCCCAGGAGAAACACATGAGCTGGGCCTGGGCCCAAAATGGGCCGAAGAATATCTAGAACACAGCATAGATCATCCGGAAGCAGCTACCGCAAAATCCGAGAATCCGGATTTCGCCTATTCGAAATTTATGAAGTTTATGCGACAAGAAGGCGATCTCCCTATTGAAGCAGCACCGTCTCCAAATACCGAAAACTTAGATAATAATTGGACTGCGAATTTCACCGAGACCGCAGATACGAAGCCATCGGAAACAACCATTGAAGAATCTAAGGGAGACGAGACGCATGCCTTAAGTACCGTTGACGAACAGTCTGCCCTAGCCACAACATGGACCAATGAATTTTCGAAAAATAAGTCTACCACCACCGAGCAAGGTAAGTTAAGCGAACATTGGAATTTGCCATACGACAATCAAATTATACATAGATTTTTAAAATGCCATATCTTTTTCAAATAGAATTAACATCACAATGCAACATTACAAGCAGTTGCCGAAACGAAATAAATTAGACAACAAAAGAATAATCGAAAAAACATTTAGTTTTTTAAGACAAACCGCACAAACGGTTATCTAAAAGACTAAAAGATACGCATTAGACAATAAAAATAAAAATCAAAAAAAAAAAAAAAAAAAAAATAAACCATTTAGTTCTCTTAATGAGCTCGCTATACGATTAAAAAAATTAAAAAATTAAAAAAAAGAAAAAAAAGAAAAAAAAAATAACAAAAAGAGAAAAAAAAAAGAAAGCATTTAGTTCGGTTAGTTCGCTCTCCAAAGAGTGCTTATGCTTTTCTATGCCCAGATGCGGAAAATTACAAATCGTCATTCTGGGAAAGTCTGCAGAGCGAATGGGAGAAGATTTCCGGGGAGAACGTGACGACGAATCACCCGTGGATCTCGGAGTACGACAATTTTTACGACCCTTTCAAGGAATACGCCTTCAGTGAGGAGAATCCGATGTCAAATCTATTGAATCCGCTAGAAGAGGGTAAACGAAGGTTGGAAATTGGAGACCTGCCCGGAGCCGTACTGTGCTTCGAAGCCGCTGTTAATCAAGACTCCAAGAATACGGAGGCTTGGCTTCTGCTGGGAAAAACACAGGCAGAGAACGAGCAGGACCCATTAGCCATCTCTGCCCTCAAACAATGCCTCACCCTCGATCCTTCGAACCTAACGGCGCTCATGACGCTCGCCGTTTCTTATACAAATGAGTCTTATCAGAGCCAAGCCTGCTTAACCCTTAAGGATTGGCTATTGAAAAATGAGAAATACAAGCACCTTAAAGCATCAAAGTCGCCTGAAAATTTGCCGCCTCAACTTTTAGTCTCCACCATATTATTCAAGTAAGTGGAGCGCCTTAAACATTGAAGATCCACCTGAAAAAGCTCTTTATCGTAATAAAATTATTTTTTTAATAGATTTTCCATAGGAAAAAAGAAATTAAAATTTCATGAATACGTGTTCCGTGAATGTAAATTCTAATTCTTAAATCGAGTTCCGTTAACTGTCGGGGCATTACTTTATTTACACATTTACTCCAATTATAAGTAAATGAGCTTGATTAATTTATGATTTTCAAAAGCCAACACTAAACGTTTAATTAATGTACTGTGCTTTTAACACATAGTGATATTCATAACGAAGTCAAAGACTTATTTATCCAAGCGGCACGAATGCAGCCACATGGCACAATTGATGCCGATGTTCAATGTGGACTTGGCGTTTTATTCAATCTATCCAGTGAATACGACAAAGCTTCAGATTGCTTTAGAGCTGCGATACAAGCAAGGCCCAAGGTAACAATTAAAATATTCATCTCATAAAACCCGAAGACCATACGTTTGTTTGGGCTCGCCTGTTTTTATGCAAATAAATTAATTGTTATTATATATACATAGGCGTATATATAGCACGTATATGTTGAAATTTGTACATTTGTAAATGTAGTAGAGTTTAACAGTTGTAAATGTAGTCAGTTTAGTAATATACCTTGTAGAACAATTTAAGGAGGTGCTATGATTTCAATTTATTATTTCCTAGGATCCAATGCTATGGAACAGATTAGGAGCCATTTTAGCTAATGGTCAGCGTTCGGAAGAAGCAATCGATGCCTATCACCAAGCACTAGAATTATCGCCGGGCTTCATTCGTGCCAGATATAATCTTGGAATATCTTGTATTAATTTAAACGCTTACAAGTAATGAATTCCTTCTTTAAACTGTACTTTAAATTCAACGTATCACGCATACTATTGCAGTTTTTTTTATTTTTTTTTAATTTTTTGTTTTTTTTTTTTTTTTTTTATTGATTTTATTACAGGGAGGCTGGAGAACATTTATTGACAGCATTGAATCAACAGGCTGCTGGAAAAGGTGTATCCGGAGAAAGAGCTCCAATGAGAATTATGTCGGATACAATTTGGTCGACCTTGAGATTGGTCCTATCGCTAATGCATAAGTACCATTTGAATGATGCTATAGAAAATAGGTATGTGGAATTAAATGTATTTTGTTTTGTTTTGTTTTGTAAGAAATTTTACGAAAAATTTAACATAACTTTTCTATTTATTTACAAATTCATTTCTTACATCGTTACATCAATCGATCATTTTAACATTAAATTATATCATCCCAAGAGGTGTATTAATTTTGTTTTCTTCCTCTTTTGTTACAGAGATCTAGCAAGGTTGAATAAGGAATTTGAAATGGAATAGGGCAATTAAACAAGCAATAAAAAAATCGAACAGTAACATTGATAATTAATATGAATTTATGTAAAGTGACATGATATGCATTGGTTTCGAGAAGTTTGCCGTTTATCATAGGCCAATGTATAACACGTTTTTTATAATGACTCGAGATTTTTTTTTCTTACTGAGAAAACTGTTTTATCAAACCCTATAATTATCAGAGTATTTCAAATTAGTTAAATTCGTTAATAATTTGTCAAATCATGAACTTCTTTATTTTTTGTTTAAACAGCGAAAACTAGCCATATTATTTTTTAATAAATTGATTTTTGGAAGAATTTACTATATATAATTTAAGAAGGTATGGTGAATCGTAATTGAGATAAACTTTGTAAATAAGTATTTTTAATAAAAAAAAAATAAATAAAAAAATTTGTCGCATAGACAAAACAAAACAAATTTATTTTCATTATATGAATCAAAAGTAACTATTTTACGTTCTTTTGTTAGGCTTACGAGCCTCCTCCAGGTTCTTAAGTTTTTGTGAAAATTTTTCCTTATCTTGCTTTGTAATAGTTTTTAATTTTCTGCGTTTAAATGCCTTTTGTTCTTTTCGACGAATAGCATTGCCACAACCATGAATTTCTTGCATACCTTAAAATAAAAAAGTAATATTATTATTATGTTTAATTTCAATGTATTCATATTATGAAATCCTAACCATGTTCTAAGCAAAACCACTTTTTACAAAATTCACAAACAAGTTTTATAAGATTAGTTGATTTTTTACATCCATTGAACGAGCAAATAGAATTAGATTTTTTAAACTCGTCAATGATTTTATCAAAATCATCCATTTTTTTATGTTCATTGGATTTATTCTCTATGTCATCTTGTTTTTTCTTTGGCCTTTCTTTTCTATTTAAATTGTGCGAGACATCAGAATCCGGTAATTTAAAAGTTTCTTCTGATTTTTGTGCTGAAACAAAAATAATTTGAAGTTTAATTTTTATAAGCCAACTACACTTTATAATTAATTTCTGTCATTACCTTCTTCATCCAACTCGGTTCCGTCAATGGCTTCAAATATATTGTATTTATTTATATTCGTATTTATTATCGAATCACTCGAACTTCCTTTATTTCTCAATTTTGGTACGACTTCTCTTATTTTATCATCAAATCTTTTTTTATCTTTCATTTCAGAAGTTTTAGGCTTTTTATTATTTTCCTGTTTTAAAGATTTTACTTTTGGCTTTACTTTATGCCTTAAGTTGCTTTGCGAAATATTTGTAATCTGCTCTATTTCACTATCGATTGTATTAGACAAATATTCTTCCGCAGTCTGCAACAAGCCATTCTCTTCGATATGCTTCAAAAGACTCAAAATTAATTCATCTTTTTCCATAGTTTCACTATCCGCTATAACTATTAGTAATCTTCTTGCTCTTGTGACTGCAACATTCAGCCTCCTAAAATCGGTAACGAAACCCAGTTCTCGATCTTGATTGCTTCTTACTAATGAAAATACTATAACTTCTTTCTCTCTTCCTTGAAAACCGTCGACCGTACTGACCTCGACATTTAATGATTTGGCCATAAATGATTTATGAATAAAATCGACCTATTTAAGTAAAATAATTTATTATAAAAAATATATATTGAATATTTTACACAAATTTTTTATACAATACGAAAGTATCTTACTTGTAATGCATAAGGAGTAATCACACCAATTTCTTTATGCGTCACACCTGCCTTTACTAAATTTGTAACGATTTTGTCTACTATAACCACCTCACCTAAATTCCCTTTTGATTCAAATTCTATACCAGTATTATACTCCTCACACTCGCATCCACAAGTATCAATATATATAACAGCTTCGTCTAAAGTAGAAAAAATCCAATTTACTTAAGTTCTTTTTCCCACTATATCTCAAGAAGATAAATTAAATTATTAAAAATAGTCTTTTCTAATGCTAATAGTGAAATAACGTACTTGTGAAATGGTCCTTTTGTTTAACATGACTCAGATCCTTTAATAAATGATTTTTTACCAAATTGTCTGCTTCAAGAATATTATTATAAAATTTCTTATTCGACCAAGCCATAATTTTTTCATTCATTCGAAATTGTCTTGTTAATGTAATAAAGCAGTCATCGTTTAATTTTTTGATCGCTCGTTCCATAAGACTAATATTCAAATGACCCTTTATTGCTTCCTCGCACATGACAACTGGTGGTAGTTGATTTATATCTCCAGCAAGAATAAGTTTTGGAGCATTTGGTATAGCGATCCACATCGATGCTTCCATTGCCTGCGACGCTTCATCGACAATCAGAACATCAAAATAATCTTTTGGAACATGTTGCAATTGACTGTCATAGGGTGATGCTGAATTTAAAGTGCACAATATTACCTAAAATTATTTATATAGCTATCACTTTAAAACGATAATACTTATATTTGACTATTTTACTTTATTTTTAAATTTACTTCATACCGAACATTTTCTCAAAATATCGCTAGTGAGTCTAATAAACCTTTTTTTATACTCTTTTTTTAATGCTTTCGTTTCTTTAAATAGATATTTGCTCTTATTACTTTCAATATTTAATTCAATATCCTTTATCGATTTTGTTATGTCTTTTAATATGACAATATCATCATCTTTTTCCAAATACGAATCTAATGAGTATTTAATTGCATCCGCTGATATTCTTGACAAATGGCCGAGTCTTAAAGGTTTTAATTCTGTTTCACCGAGGCGTACTACTAAGTTGTCCACTGCTACATTAGTTGGTGCACAAATCAAAACCTACAAATTATATTTAATGATATATATATATATATATATATATATATATATACATGACTAATTAACAAAAAATATTTTATCTAAAAGAGTTATTTGTTTCCTCTTACCTTTTTGCCTATTCGATGTAACTGTAAAATTATTTCTATTAAAGTTGTTGTTTTTCCAGTACCTGGTGGACCTTGAATAGCGGCAAAATATCGTTGTTTAAGAGCAAATTCTACAGCCGATCTTTGGTCTTTAACAAGATTTTCGTTTGCATATTTTAAACTGCCTTCATTATTTAAACAATTCTTTGGAATTGGATCTTTCGCCGTTATAAGATTATGTACTACATTTTGATTATTATCAAAAAGAATCTGAGCGATTTGTAGACAACAAGATGAGTATAATTCTTTTTGTTCCAAAAATTCTAAAGCTCTAAAAGAAAATTTTATTTTAATAATTTAATTCAATGATGCATAAGAAAATGTAAAATATAAATGAAACTTAATTCCAACCTTGTTTGACGTTTGTATGTCAAAGTAGAATCAGTTTTAGCAACTGTAAAGCTTTCATTTTCTTGAATATTCTCATATTGGTTATTTGTAATAATACTTAATGTAGAGACGTCTATTGCAATTATAACACCTTTAATACTCTGCTCTTTTCCTTTAGATCTGATACAAACAATTAAATCTCCACTAGATAATTTATGATCTAACGATAAACCATCGACATGTTTCAAGTCAATTTGAAAGTGTTCGGGACCTTTGTAAATAATATTGGTTATTACTAATTTTGATAATGCTTGGCCAATACATTCTAATTTATAAACATTGGCAGGAGTAATGTCTTTGATAAATTCTGTAAAATTCTCGTTTCGTTCCAATAACAGTAAATTTAATTGTTTACGTACAAAAACGGTTATGATTTGATCCATTGTTATTAATCCTGAATATATACTGTTTTAAGAATTTATACACTTAATCGACATTGTCATTACTCATATGTTTAAGTAACGTATTTCGTTAGGTTCATATTTTTATATCAAATTCATTCCCGACACATTTTCGAGGAGACCTATAGTAGTAACCTTTCAAAATTACCATCTCTTAATATTTTTGTAAATAAATCATTTCAACATTTTTATACATTGTATAGATTACCTTCTTATTTTATAACTTATAACTGTGCATCTATACATTTGTCTCTCTCTCTCTCTCTCTCTCTCTCTCTCTACCCAGAAGCGGCAATCCTTGTAATTAGATTTTTATAAATGCTTGAAAAATCACGTACAGGCGCGCGTGTGCGTGCACATGTATGCGCGCATACATTTAAAGGAATAACTTACTAACCTACACTTAACAAGGATCTTTTCGAGTGAAAAAAGATAAATCTTATTGATTTTATTTATTTAAAATTAAATCGTATTTATTTGAATTTTTCTTTTTTTTTTTTTTTTTTCTTAAGTAAGTGATATTAGCTTAAGATTTAATTACGTTGAAAAAGGCTTTGTTAAAATGTATACATAGCTAAATTTATTTATAAATTTATTAGTGCGTATAAAAAGTACTATATCAAAATATAAACACAAATCAATTGAATTGGTTTTTAATTTTATAAATAGATAATTGTAACATGTTACGCAATTATTGCTCCCTTCAAACATTAAAATACCCGCGATATTTCAAATTCGTCAAAATTTTAAAATTAAAGAAATAACAGTTTACACAATCGTGTGTAAAATTAATACTAAATGTAAATTCAATGAGTATATTTTAAAAGAAATTTAAAAACTATGGCGTTTAACAAATATTTGGAGCTACGAGGTATTACGTAAAAAGCAGAAAGACTCGGAAAAAGAAGGCACAGACGACTTTAATCGCTAACGAATAGAATTAGATACGTATGCACTTTTTCATTAGCCAATTGTTAACTGAAAATTTTTCACATTAATTATTCGCATATCGCAATCGTAATAAAAAAAAAAACAAATTGAATATTTGTTATATATCTCGTGTATGTCGAAGAGAAATAAGATAATTATTTTAGAAAACACTTATTGAATATGTATAAACGATTTTTCACTTTTATTTTACATTAAATTTATTTTTTAACATTTATAATTATTTTCTCTATTAACTATTGATCTTCATTATATGAATATGTTGCTATATTATATAAAGTATAAATATAATATAAGTATTTGAAATATCATAGCTTCGTTACGAACATGATGCAATAACTTTTTATTCTTGAAGATTCTGTAAAAAGTTTTAAAATCCCTTTTCCCGAGCAAAATTTAGATTATCATTGAAAATAGGCTCTGATATAAAAAAAATATATATATATATTCTATAAGTTTCTCTTTTTTTCATTTATTATATAAAACTTAATTTATTTTCTTTTAATCTGTTTTCATTATTGTCAGAGAATCTGAATGCTATTTAAAGAAAATAGAATTTTTTCTAACACTTACGTGATAACTTATATCTTGAATGTTTATTTTCAATTTAATTATTATTTAACGCGTTAAAATTTTTATTATTGTGATAATTGTTTTCATCCTTCAAGTTTCATTCACATTACATTTTATTGTTCAAATACAATTTCATGACTTCACTAATACTAATGTAAAAAATTTAATAAATTATGTGTAAATAATTAAATAAATTATAAAATAAAAAATAAAACATATAATTTCTTTAGTATCAATTGCATTTGCTATAGCCGTGAATTTTATAAAATGTTATAATTAATTTCATTAATCTACAAATATATTAGTCAATCCACATCATTCTTGAACGTTTCTATAAACTTTACTGTATACTTAGTTACGATAGATTATAAATAATAAAATTGATTTGATGAAGCTAGAATAGTAATTGGAAATTAAAAATTTTGTTTATAGACAGTCTACGGATATTAATAAACCCCAATGAATTGATTAAATAGCAGATGGTAAAAATGTTTTAAAGTGAATAAATATATAATTCCACCATATTTAAAAGTAAAATCAGTTGATTAAAAGTAAATTCTATTAGCTATTTCAATATTAAAAAGAATTTCAGTATTAAAATTTATAAGAATTTCAATATTAAAATTTAAGCAATTTATAAGCGTAATTGCATAAATAAATAAATATATATATATATATATATATATATTTATTTATGCAATTAAGTAAGCAAAATATATTTATATATATAAATGTATAATTAAACAAAATTTAATCTAAATTAACAAATCGAATTACATGTTAAATTAATGTTTTGAATAGTTTTACAATACTTTAAAGAAAGCTTGTTTTAAATGAAAAAATATATGTAATTTAGATAATTTAAATTTATGCTGAATGGATGTAAAAGCAACATGGAATGTAACAAAAATCGTCATTATTTATCGAGTTACATTATACCGATATCAAGGACAATCAACCAAATTAATTTTGCTATAATGAAAAAATTATTATAATCAGTAATTAATGTAAAATTTTTGACTTTCTGAAATATTAAATCAAATATTATATATTTACTGCACATAAGAAAAGGGGAAATTAAAATTATAATTGCGTTAACTAACAATATTATATCAGGGCTCTGTCTAATTTCTTAAAGCCAAATATAAATATTTATATAACTCTGCAATTTTTTATTATTAAAACAAATTAAAACCTAGTTCTTCTTATTAAAAAGTAAAAATACTGTTTACTTCATTTTTATATTTTTGTTACGTGATTGTACAAAGAAATATTTATTTACAAAACAGATTTACGCAAAAAAAGTTATTTATTAAAAACAAGATTAGAATATTCTAAAACAAACAGTATAGTATGCTGATATAAACGCAAATACTTACAAAATAGAAAATACAATTATATTGTTATTTAATAGAACTTTTCAACGTGCATTTTTTTTTGTTTTTTTTTTTTTTAAACAGATTAATTATAAATTTATTCGTTATACATTGCAAAAGTCTTAAAATACTTTTTCCCATTTGTAAATACACGTTAAAAAAATGTAGAAGAAGTGACTGAAATATCAAAATAGTGTAAAAATATGGAAATAACCAGCAAGAAGTAACTTTAATGAAAATCTTTTTAAATAGAAAAAAAAAAATCAATTTCGCATTAATTATAATTCTAATAATATACTATATAATTACATAATTTTTACTTATTATTATGCCTTCGAGTGCTTAAATATTACGTAAACTTATTTTAAATACTTTCATATTTAATGCTATAATTGCTGAAATATTAAATTCTTTTTCAAGATATTTCGTCAACATTTTCTCAACGTGTACTTGATCATCTATTGACATTTCGTCGTTATCTCTCATACTTATCGATATATTTTTTCAATTATTCTTCATTTACTAAATAATATTTTCTAATTATTTCTTGTTTCCATGTTTGTGTACAAAATACTTAACAAATACGATTTAAAATATGATTTCAAACGATATATGTTAATACATAAATAATATACAAATACGATTCATAAATTCGGAGAATTAAATGTATTTTTTATGTAATATCAATAAGAAGAATTAATTTTGCTTATGGAATATTTCATTTTGAATATAAAAAATTTGTTTCAAAATTTGTTCTAAATTCATATTAAAAAATTTAGATAATTAAGTAAAAATAATTTTCTATTTTCCCTGAATTCATGAAAGGTAGAAAACACATTATATTACAACTGTTTATTTTTTTTTTTTTTTTTTTTTTTTTTTTTTTTTTTTTTTTATAAACTATCAAATTAAGTAAATTGTTTTAAATATAATAATATTGAATAAGTGAATTTAACAATAAACAATGTTTCAAATTATATATATATATATATATATATATAATATATAATATATATAAAAGAAATATAAACAAACACTCGTATGTAAATTGAATAAATAATAAGGAAGAGTATCAATTTTTGTTTTAATCCAAATTATGTCTCATATTTGTAAAGTTACGTTGAATAGTACTTTTTTCCTTTATGTATTATTTTAATTTAATTATATTAACAGTATAGTTCAAAGATCAGCTTAAACTCAAGTTTGTAATTAAATGTAAAGTCGAAGGAACATGTTAACATCGATGCTCATCGATGAAATTTAAAACGTTATTGCTTACTAAATTTTTATTCAACTGGTAAAAAAGATTCTTATGTTTTATATTAAATTAAGTTTGTAATTGGTATATTTTAACAAAAATTTTAATATGCGTATTTACATACATTAACGCATTCACACAAAAATTATTATTCTTCCTTACAAATACATCTGTACAGATAACGCTTTTATTCAAATTTAAGATCTTCATAAGTGACTTTCTTATATTTCATATTGCAAGACTAGATTACGAATTACTTATCCTCTTTATTAACATACGTAAAAATAAAACTATATATATATATAAAATAAGGTTGAACATTATAATACAAACTAATACAAACCAATACAAAATAATCATCTAGTTAAATTAATTAAATATTTAATAAAATTCTAAAATAATTTTTAATGTGTTATACATTTTTGTTGAGAATTAGAATTATTTTTTCGAAGTATTTTGTAAAAGTTGAGTCCTTACTAGTTAACGATTTGTTACTTTTAATAATATTTTGTCTTTTCCTTTATTTTAAACACGTACATGAGTGAATTTTTCTTTATAAAAAAATCTATAATTTCATTGGTACACTGTTGTAGGATTAACGTTGATCATATCGGTAGTACTGTTAAAAAGAATAAAAATATATTAAATTTTCAATTAACATAGAATAATTGAGAAATGTGTATAGTAAGAGTACGTTTGTCAGGCAAATAACTTTGAAACTATTTTCTAAATGCATTAGCGCAAGAATATAAAGCACGAAATAAGTTCGATTATAAATTGTATTGAAATATTAAAATAATAATAGCCAAAAATGAGGGGCAATAGGATTATCGATAGCAAGTGATATCTAAAACTATTTTCTTTTCATATAATTGGAACATGCATTGTAGCTTTTATCGTTTAACAATGTCTAACTAAACATTATAATAAATAAAAATTATAATAAATTAGAAATATTCTAAATTTTTTCGTTTGTATAAAAATAAAAATGTTCGTATGATCATGCATAATCATGCACATAGTGAAGATATAATATTGAATTTGAGCACTAAAGTCTTATTTAAATAATATATTTGCTTTAATAGATATCACATTACAAAAATCAAATTGAATAAATGAATTTTATTTTATCATTGTTTATTGAAAATTGATTATTAAAAATGGCAATAAAATATAATAAAACATCAAAGATAAGCAATAAGTCAATGAGTCATTCGAAATGAATAATAGAAACAAGCGTATAAAGAAAATAAATAAAAAATAGTTAAGAAATATTTTAAATTTTTTATTCTGGCATTAAATGAAATAATTTATAGAATTAGATTTTTTAATAAATGATGTTGTCTGAACATAATCTAAATAATTTTATGTTAAAATAGCATTTTTTTTTTCTTTTTTTTTTTCTTTTCTTTATCTTAACTAATTGGTTCATATTTTTATTACAAGTGTTATTAATAATTATACTGCAATTTGTTTAATAAAATATTCTTAATAATACAATTATAAATAAATATGATAATTTGTGATCAAACATTTCTGTACTTTGTATTTATTAATACAATCTTAACTTTTTAATGCTTAAAATACAAAATGATATACCAAAAGTACTTGCAATAATATATAAAACAGATGTCAAAATCTAATAGGTATAAATTAATTTTATCTACAAAACACTTACAAAGGACATTTAGATAATCCTAATCATGTTCATTTTGGTCCCTCTTTAGATAAGTTTGCTATATGAAATATACATACGATATATAAATAACGATAGATATGTTTTCGTATGTGGAAGTGTACAAAGTTCTACTATTTTAAAACAATTTTTGTATAAATATATACTATTGTTATATGCTTAGGATGAACCAAGTAAATTATAATTTTCAAAACTTTTATAACTATTTTTAGAAATGAAAAATTGTTCCTTTTATTCGACTAATCGCTGTTTTTTTTTTTTTTTTTTAATTAAAAATCCTATAAAATTTTGCAAATATTTATATTTGAAAATGTAATTTGTTTTTATTTATTTTTTTAAATTAATTTTAGTTTCAATTAATATAATGATGAGATTTTATTATAATTATTCTATTATACAGATATTATAAAGATTTTATAAATATGATTTGATTGTGACAGAGAAGTATTGAAATAACAAAAATTGATATAAATAATTATACGAAATATGTAACTATTGTAAGCCTTTTAACGATTATTTAACGAATCTCCTGTAGTTTGTTATAATTAATTGCTATTATTGTAATTAAACTAAATAATATTGCATGTACTATAAATTGTGTAATATTGCAAGAGTATTAAAATATCAAATATTTTTTTTACTTGTAATATTATGTGCAATGATAATGTTGAATTTAATTTTCAACAATACTCTAAATATATACTTATAAATCTTTCGATACTCAAAGAAAAGTGAATCATTGTAATACAATAAACAATTTTTTACTTTATACAATTCTAAAATCAGAGTAAAATACGAACAAGTATAGTAAATCTAAATTAAAAAATCAAAATTGTATCGAAACCAATAATTCATTTATAAAACTTTGCTTTCACCGATTAAAAGCAATTAATTTTCTATGCATTAATTAAATTTATCTATCATGTATGCACTGACCTCTTAGAGCACTTAATATGTATGATTAATAATGCAATTCCCAAAAGTAAGCAAACGGATCCAACTACGATATAAGCAATGCCAAGGAAAGGATTTTTTCCACCTAAAAGGGACGTTGTACTTAAAATCATTCTCTTTGTACCTTCGAAAGCTGAAACTTGATAAGCTAAAACGATACACGATAGCATTATAATAAGCTATTTGTAACAAGTATGTAATGTAAATTATTATATATAACTTACAATATTTAACCATTAAAGTGTAATTGCCAGCAAGTAAACCGTCGGTAAAGCCTTGTTGACTATGATCTACTCTACGATATAATTTTCTAAATGTTGGTAGTGCAGCTGTTCTCATCCATACTATTAAATCTTCATTTTTGAAACCATTATTGTTCTCATCGTCAGGATCTAACTGATATACGGGTTTCTTCCAATTTTTAGGTTTCTCAAAATCTTTAAATGCCTCTCTCAAGTCACCGGGTGGATTTTTAAATTTAATATTTTTATCAGAAGGCCATGCTATACCAGTTCGTAATAATGGTACGTATCTCTTATGACTATGAGAATATAAGCTTAATTCATCGCTAAATAAAGAATTTGCTATGGCACCGCAAGGTGCTATAGGTATCAATGTTCCGTTTCTGTCTGTATAAGCAAAGGGCTCGCAGTCGCTCGAAACTAACTGGCTTAATTGACCCAGTAACTGGTTATCGTCTCGAGATTTGACGTAACGACGGTGATTTTGATAAAAATTTGTAAGACCATAATACATAAAAACTTTTCCATTAAAATCCGTTGGCAATGAAAATGGTAATTCGCAGAAACAATTTAACGATGCATTCGCAGCTATGACATCGGTGCATCTCGAATTGCGATCCCTTATTGAATTTTTTGATAGACAATTTGTATAATCTATAACTTGCTCTTGAACCTCGTCTGAAAAATATAATAATCCAACTCCAACCGGTATAAAAGCAATTCCTATAACAAAAAATGTCGGTAACACAGTCCCTGCAGTTAGTATTGGCTGCCATGCAGGTAAGCGTTGTTGTTTAAAGGCACTATCTATAATGCAAACGATATTCACGATAAATACAAAGTGAAACCTTAAAATTAAAATGTAAATCTATTTAATACAAAATCTAAGTAATTCGATCACTTACCTGAAGGTTTCTTCGTTTTGGGGAGTGAATCATTATCACTAATACTCGTCGTCATTTTGTACAATTAAAAATACTGTTGCAATTTATTAACACTTAATTCATTTAATTTTATTCTAATTTTATCCTCAACATTAATTCAATACTTAATTGATTTCAAATATGCCAATCTACATAAATTCGTAATGAAAATAAAAATCTAATGGCGTTTTTCACATTAGAATGAATAGAATAGCGCTTATTAGTGCTTGGACGTCTATAACTTGCATAACAGTAATTTCTCAGTTTTTATGGGCATCCATTAATTACTCCATTAATCGACATTGAATCTGCTCTGTCTATTGTATACTATGGCCTGTAAGTAAGAAATATTATATAGACGACGTTTGGCCAATGGTCGCTTCAACTACACAATATATAATACTACGATAATAGTGCTCTATAATTACAAACATACGTATATACTACAGGACATGCGCATATGTGTATATATATAAATCTATATCTATATATCCTATAATATAAACACGAGCTGACAACTTATACTTTAGTCGCAAATACCGAGTCACGTGATTGTCCGATTACACCACTTGTTAAGGTCAAAACTTTTTCTACATTCGGCTTTGTAAGCTCTATAGAATCCTCGTTTAATATTTAAAACTGCACAAATGCGTTTAAAGCAGACTGCATATATGTATCACATATCCTAAAGGCCATCAATCATGTCTGGTTTGATGCACCTGACGTTACGACCCGCCTTTAACGAATAATTATGATAAAAACGATAGCGCGCCAAGATTCAAAAGTACCATCGTACATGTCGTAATTTAAGGATTTAACAGCAATACGATCATTGTATTTAATAAATTGATGGGCCGAATGGCCGAGGGAAGATGATGTGATGTAAAAGCGATAAAATAGAGCGATGGTAGGGAGCACCAAGTCAAGAACCGGTGCAATTAGTCAAGACCTCGCAAGGTTTGCACTTGAGACACCGACCGACCTAGTCTATCCAATATATTGTATCTGTACACCTGCTTATTAATTAATGATTAATGAGGTGAGATATGTGATAGCGACTCTTATGGATCTAAGGAAGCGATAAAGGCGACCAAAACATACGTTTGTCGAAAAGTCAAAGTGTGTACAAAGTCAGAAACGAAACAATAGTCAAAGCAACGCTAGGACAAATATGGACGATTTATCGGCAAGTTTGAATGGCCGTTGTTCTCCGTTTTCTTCAACGCTTCAAATCGACATATCAAGTGCAAATGACATCTTATTTGTATTGAAAGAGTTTTCATTTTACCTATTTTATTTTAATTCAATCGATGAAGAATATAATTCGTTTTCTTTCTCGCGTGCATTGATTTCAGCGAGATTTACGAAATCACTGCTAACAACTAAATGTAATAATCATTGGCAAAACATTATTGCATTATACAAAATGTTTTCTTAATAACTTCATTGTAAAAAGTTATTGTTATATTATGTATTTAGAAGAAGGAAACATTACAATGGTTGTGCACATAGCGAGTTTGTGAAATTATTATTGATAGTTTAACGCATCGTAATGCATTCTAGCGTTTTTACAAGTTCTTAAAATTAGACGATTTACATAATTTTTTATTTTTTTTTTTTTTTTTTTTCGAATCTATACATTAAATAAAAATTTTTATCCCAAAAATATTTATAATTGATAATTCTTTACAGATTTAAAAGTTCATCATTGCCCGTCCTAATAATTGTCTTATGAAAAAATCCAAATTTTGATAGATTTGTCCGAGCTTTGAACCACGGTCCAAAAAAATTCATTCAAAGAAATTCAAAGAAATTCATTTTATTCATTATTAATCATATTCATTATAAAAATTTGAGAATAAATTTTCATTAATTATATTACAAACAAAATTACGAAACTAATCGAACGCAATGGCTAACACTTATCAATCGTGTCAATTTAAGCAAATTAAATATTTTTTAATAATCTATGAAGAAAAACAAATGCAGGTAGTAATTAATACAAACAATAACAGCAGTTTAATTGTTAAAACCGATTTTCATTATAAAGATGATTAAAATATAAATCCCATTTTTAATCATATAAAATATTGTCGATGCTCATAAACAATACATTATTTATTTATTATATAATAAATGCAATACAAAATTTAACAAAATATATAATTTTATGTATATATTCTTTATGTGATCACAGTTGGTTCATTTCGTCCAGTAAATTCACCAAGTTTACTCAATTCTAGTGAAATATCGACAAGTGGTTTCAAAACAGTTTGAGGATCTCGAAGATAAGTAGACGAATCCGCTTCATAACTTTCAATGTACAAGCGAATGGTCGCACCAGCACTTCCAGTACCGGATAACCGAAAAATTATTCTGGAACTATCTTCAAATAAAATTCTAAGACCCTTAAAACAATGCAATAATTCAAAATTAATAAAAAATTCAATCACGAGAGGATATTTTTCTGAAACTATCCATACCTGTTTAGAAGCTACGCTACCATCTATTGGATCTTTATAAGAATAATTGTCAGCTTCTTTAATAATATAAGTTTTATTATGAGATGTAAATTTTCTCCCGACAAAATCCGATTCTTTCATTAATTCTTCAACGTATTTCATCATCTTATTAGCTGCATCGATATCACAATTTTCATAATCATATCTAAAAAAATATAAGGAAAATTATTTAAAAACAAATATATATACAAAATATATAATATATAGTAATGTATAATAATATGCCTAGTGTGATTTTACATTATATTATTTATTAATTACTTTTATACACCTTGTAAAAAAATTTCTTCCGTAAGTACACCAGTGATTCAATAAAATTTCTTCGATAGATTTTCTATGGCTGGCAATTATGTTAAGCCAAGCGAGACTAGTCCAAATTCCATCTTTTTCCCTAATATGATTCGACCCTGTTCCAAAACTTTCTTCGCCACAAAGCGATATCAGTCCAGCATCCATTAAATTTCCTTTATTAAACATTAAAAGAAAATTATAAAACTGAAATAACCTTGCACAGAAAATATAATATTATGTGTAATATTGTTGAATTTACCAAAATATTTCCATCCTGTGGGTACCTCGAAACATTCGATATTAGTACTTTTTGCTACTCTATCGACAGCTGCTCCCGTTGGCATAGATCTTGCATATCCTTTCACTCCGACTTTTTGAAAATATGGTATCACATTTAAATTAGCAGCTAAAACGGCCAACGAATCTGAAGGATTTACAAAAAATGCTTTTTTCCCAATAATCTGTAAGATCGGATAAACTTGGTTGCATTATGTATTCGACAAAAAGTTTCCAATAATAATAAGATACGCTGAAAGTGAAAATCAAGTAAATGTACCATGTTTCTATCTCCATCACCGTCGAAAGCAGCTCCAAAGTCATATAATCCAGTCTTCACATCGTTTACAAAATCAGCGGCATAAGTTAAATTTGGATCCGGATGTAAGCCACCAAAATCTTCTTTTGGCGTTGAATTTACTAAATTAGAATCACTAACGCTTAATTCTTTGCCAAATATTTGTTTGACGTACGGGCCAGTTACTGAATAAAACGTTCTATTGATAAAGACTTGTTTAAATATATAACCTTATAAAAAAAATTACTTTTAAATGCATTACCTCCATTCATTGAGTTGATAAGAATTTTAAATGGTAGATGCTCGTCATTTCCTTGAAGCAGCTTTTTAATGCTTGAAAAATCAAATATTTCTTTCATCAAATTAATATAATCATTTACAGAATCAATTACATCTATGGTAAAAGGCTTTCCATCGACTTGCACAGTGACGCATTGTATTTTATCAATATCGACAGAAAGTTCGGGAACAATTTTATACTTTTTCAAAGTTTTCGTTATGTCATAAATTTTATTGGTAATAGAATCTGAAGCTGGACCTCCGTTCTCACAATTAAATTTAATACCAAAATCTCCATTAGGACCACCTGGATTGTGAGATGCCGTTAGCACAATTCCTCCAATTGTTTTATATTTTCGAATTACAGTTGATACGGCTGGTGTAGAAAATATTCCATTTTGACCGACTAACAATTTTGATATCTGTTGAAGAATTTAATTCCACTATTGTATTTTCATAATAAATAGAACATAAGAATTATTATTAAATTTGTTTATAATTTACAGAATAATCTTATATTAACATAAAACTTTCCTTATGAATAGCTGATGATATATGATAGCTGAATATAAATTGATTGTATTTTTAAACAGATCATTAATTTAGCCAGCAATTCTAATATAAATAAAAACTAAAGACTAATAAAAAATAAAGACTAATCTCTGAATTATTATCGAGAATTTTAAATCAGTAAATTATATACATTATATAAATAAATAATGAACCTCGCAAATAAATTACATTATAAAATGTAATTTAAATTTAGATTCCATTTTCGTTTTCAATTCATAATTCATGTAAAATATTTTACATTTCAAAAATTATCGAATAATATTCAAATGTTATTATAAATTTACTCTTCATTCTTAATATATTTAAAATTAGGAGTTAAATTTTTTTTTTTTATAATTCGAATTTAATTCTTTCGAATTCTAATTCTACAAAGGCATGGCAAATTTTTACAGCACGTAATGTGCAATTAATTTTGGAGGGAATTGATTTATCCTCATAAATAATGTTTTGTATAAACAAGAAAATAGAAAATAACAAAACTCAACTATTCCAATGAATTTGTCATAATATTTGAAAATATAAAGCACCAGCACCTTCCAATCTTTCGTAAATTATTAATCAAATGAAACATACCCCATTTGCCGCAGCAATTTTTATAATTTTCTCAATCACGTCTCTCCCATAATAACGACCGTCACCACCAACTACTAATGTACTTCCAAATAAATTATCACCCACGGCCTCGAATATCGCCTGAATAAAGTTCTCTGTATAATGTTCTTGCTGGAAAATCTTAGCAGCTTTCCTCAGACCCGATGTGCCCGGCTTTTGACCTTCAAAAGTTACAGTGTCCACGATCGATACTGTAAACGAACTCATTATTCCGAAATAATAAAGAATAGTTGTAAGAACGAGGACCACCTAATAATAGATAGGGAGTGGAACTTATTGCTTGAAATAGATATTTAATTGAATTTTAAACTTTAATTAAAAGGACGAATTGAGAGCCCGTAATAGTCAAATAATCGATAGGAGCATTGAAGGACAAACGAATGAACTAAGTAAGCTCCACTTAAGTTTAAAGCCACTGATCCGCCGAACTTTCAAAGATTCAAAATTTCACCATAAGCCTCGGCGGTCGTTCCGCGCTACGGCAATCGTTATCAATTTCGTAACACTTTGACATCGGGTACATAACTGTGTAGTAGCGCGCTAATTGTGTAATTAAAATACGAATGGCGTCAGAATAACGAAACTGATAACAACTGCGCTACGTACAATCGCAGTGAAATGGCGATGAAAAGAGATGTTCGATATCCAACATTAATGTACAAATAATATTTCTACGTATTCCATTCTCTTCCATGCAAATGTTTCAAAACATTTTTATAAAGAGTACGTATTCAATAATATAATCATAGGCTTAAAATATAACGAGCATAATGGCATAAAAAATGTATTTTTGTGAAAAATCGTAGAGATCCAATGGATTTTTTTGTTTTTTTTGTTTTTGTTTTTTTTTTTGTTTTTATATTAATTATGAATCTTCTCTAGTTTCTTTAATAGAGATAATTAATTATTTAACGATAGATAGCTTCCTGCACCGATCATACGAATGTGAGAACGACGACTTTCACATACATATTAATTACTAATATTGCTCGTTCGTTAATTGTCATCGGTCTCTCTTTAAAGCCTAATTATATTAATTATATTAATAAAAAGTCCGTAAGTCTCGATTGTATCGAAAATATTTATGAAAATTTGATGAAATAAAATGTATTTCAATTGACTCGTAAAATACATATATTATATAAGTGATGGAATTGATTATAATGATTATTATTAGTTAATTCAAAATTGTACTTGTAAAATGAAATGATATAATATTAATGTCATAAGAAGAAAATTACGACTAAATGTATGGTATTATCGTGTATTTTAATTTTACTTCGTATTACCAAAGTAAAGGAATAATTGAATCGTTGAAAATTTATGTCCAATGGTATTATTTTGAAAAGCAATATTAAGTCGCATATTAATTAATTAGAATATTGGCCAATCAATCGTTCAAATTTATTAGAGATGATGCAACATATATCACATAGAACTTACATATACAATTAATTTTTCTCTCTAAATTATATATACTCGATATAAATGCAAATGTAAGGAATTTATAAACTATTATCAATCAACGTTTATAAATTGACAAAATTTGCCATCCCAATGGCAATATTTAATAAGACTATCTTTAAATATATAAAAATCAATTGTTACATCAGACAAAATATGTTTAATTTTTATTTCTTATAATTATTTTATTACAATTATAAACAATTTCATTATAAGTAATTAATTTTTTATACATATGAATGAAATTTTATTTTTAAACAGTACAAAACATTTCTTGTATATTAAAATATAATACAGAAAAACTCAACTCAAAGAATAATTTGAAATAAGTAAATTTATATTAATAAAAATGCTCTTTGCTCTTATTATTGAAAGCATTATAAATACAAATGTGAAAATGATATATGATTTGCGGGTTACACCACTTCATAATTATCAGTGAAAAAGACGGTTTCCACGGAATACTTAACAGGACTATCATCTTCAACGAGCATAACTTCGTTAACCTGCAATAACATAAAATGCATTAGGCAAATGTAAGAAATGGTACGTAAACGCTTTATCGAAGCTCACTTTGATTTTAGCGTATGCAGTTTTGGATGTAAATGAAACATGCAATGGGAAAAAATCTGAAGGTCTTGAATTTGGTACTGAGAATTCCATTGATCCAGATTTTGTCGAAGCATCTATTATTGGCAATGACCATACCAATATATTCTTCCTAGCTTCGTGAGAATATTCGCCATCGCATTCACTCACAATTGGATTGCTGCCTATTGTCAGTGGAATGTTTATTTGGACATTATTTAATTCAAGATCTGTCTGCTCCAATTCATATTCAATATTTACATCACAGCCTCCTTCGCCATTTTCAGAAGGCCAACAGTTTACTGGAAATATAACAAAAAGAATTAAATACTAGCCACATATTATAATTAAGACAATGAAATAGCAGTGAATTCATTTTATCTACTTGAGATAGGTAATGCAGTTTCATCTTGACCTTGTAGACGCCATTTTAATACACCAACATCGGTATGCAATGGGAAAGGCTTTGATGGAATTTTCAAGCCAATTTGTCCCTTTGTTCTAAAAAGTTCTTTATCAACATTAGGATGTGTTTGCAATTGCATTCCCCTTGTATCCTTATTATCCAATTGCACACGAATGCGACCCCATTTTTCATCCGATATATTTAACGTGACTAAGCCATGTAACTCAAAATTTTGTACCCCGCCATCCCGACTAACTCTGACATTGAGCTTTTCCTCTTGCTTCAAGTGTACTCTATGTCGATGGGAAAAAAAAAAAAAAAAAAAAAAAAAAAAAAAACAACAAAAAGTGTTATTAAATACAGTACCTAATTGGAAAATAGCTAATTAATTAAATAATAATCGTACGGTTCTGTTTTTGCAGCATCCGATGATATTGACATAAGTTTAGATCCAGAAGTAGGCAACGAAGGAGTACTTACGGTTTCGCCTTCTTCTTTAAGTTGATCGACAAATGAGTCGACGTCTCTAGACTTTCCACCTAATTTCATTGCACCTGAACCAGCTGAAATGGGCTTCCTTAAAAAGAATATACACATATTTATATAAACATAACGAAACAGTTTCGCATTATAAAAGTACTAACTGCATTATATTGTAGGTGGATTTTGCCGGTTCGGGAATGTAATTAGCAGAGTCACCGACATTTGGACTTGGTGTGAAATTACTCCCACTACCGTAACCTCCACCAAAGCCAGGACTCTTAACACTTCCTCCTTTCTTACCGGCCTCCATTCTCTGTCTTTGTAACTCTTTGGCTTTTTCTCTCATTTTATTTTTTGCCTCTCTTTCTTGCGTAGATCTAACAGCCTGATAAACTCTTTCTTCGTGAGAATCCATTTCGACGAAAGTACGAATTTGTGCCAAGTTAACGCTTTCTCTATAACCGAGAGCAACTATTTCATCAAATGCAAATATTAAATTAAATGCATTTTCGGCTATTTCTAATTCATCCATCGATTTACAATACTCTGGAATCTAAATGAAAAGGATATTACAATAAACGATATAGGCATTAGTTAACATTAATAATATGTAAAAGTGGCAATGGCCGCTTACGCACCACTCTCGCAAAGAGACGTAACGTTTCCAGATCCTCTAAAATATTACTAGCCTTTGTTGTAATTAATAGCATATACAATTTTTCCAACGGTTGATAAACATATCGAACCGAATCGGTTTCCACAAATGTATGTTGTTTACCGGTACTCATCAACTTGGGAAATGCAGCGAGCAAGCCTTCTATTCTGGTCTTGGTCATTTCAACAAACTGACGAGAAATGATGGCTAGAAAAAATATATTTTCTTCCAATATAATAATAATAATAATAATAATAATAATAATAATAAACAATGATAATAAACAATGATAATAAACAATGATAATAGCACGAGTTAGGTGGCACTTAAGTTATGCGATTTAAAGTAATATTAGGCAGATGTCAAAAGACGAGCAAGTTCCATAATAAATGAATCTATACGACTTGACACTCGCTGGCATTATTTACGTAAAATTACATTTCTACTTACTTTTACCTCCTTTGGTGCACACCGCAGCAGCGATAAGTACCTATAAAACAGAAAAGAAAAAGCCAAACAATTTCCCATGTAAAATAATGAGGATTACACAGAGAAGCTATTATATCGATGTCGTGTTAGATGGTAAGTTAACATAATTGAGTGTAATGAGTGAGGAGGGTAGGAATTAACGAAGCATACATTTATAATGAAACATACCATTTTGGCATGCAATCTGTCGCTATCTAAAAAATAATAGTGTGCGCACAATAAACAACACTATTTTGATATCCTCGCATCGAACATTTTACGATAGGAGTATTCGCGGTACGCTGCTGACCGCTGACGTGTGCAGGCTGCGGGCCATAGACTTATAAAGATAGATCGTGTGCTTCGCGAGTAAAACGCATGACAATACAAGAGCGAGAGAGCTGTTGTAAGAGCATCGGCCGCCTCTCTTTCTGCGGCAAATAATTTACAATTATAATATACGATGATGGAACTACGAGGATCGGATTTTAATCGCATTGCGAATGACCAAACGGCGAGCGATAAATCAGTCGATTTATTTTGCTGGCGCGGGTCCTATTCGATCTCGGCGGGGAGAAATATTTTAAAATCGCAACCTTTGACGCTACGGCATCCAATTAATTCTAGCTTTCTCTCCCTTTTCCTCCCATTCCTCGCTCCAGACAATTCGTCGCATCTTTCGTTCATCATCAGCGTTATGAAAAATAGACTTTTTTTTCTCCATTCAAATTATTTTCCATTTTCCAGCTTGCATTCGTATAAATATTTTTCGAATGGCCGCGTGTGCGCAATCTAAATGCCAGTGATAATTTAAACGGCCAAGTCGGGATTGGGCCGGAAAGTATGGCGCCACATGTACCGACGAGTTTCATATCCTAACTCCCCTCCCCTTGCACAGCTACTGCCAAGGCATGTTCTAATTATCTTAAACTCTACTCTAGATGATGTTACTGCATGATTATTGGCTGTCACCTCACGCTGCACCTTGCGCGCACTCCTGCAGGCGCTGCCCCAGTCCGTTCCCGGTACCCGGTAGTCAGTAGGATTTTCTCTTGTTCTCTCGCCTCCGCGCCCCACGCATCCCGTCACCGCCCATCCCACCACGCCGAATCCAACACACACACACACACACACGCGCGCGCGCGCGCGCGCAAAGAGTAGCGCTCGCTCGTTAATTACTCACACACGGCACCTCGTACTTTCTCTGTCATCGAGTGCCCGAGATCGCCGCTGTAAAATGCATATAAACGTTTATGGTCAGTAGGATTATCAAGTTCTTCAACTTTTCTATCAAATCTACAAGATTTTGTAGTGAATAATTAGAAGTCATGACACATCTGCCTCCATGCGTTATAGATGTCGGAACAGGGTAAAATAGCTTCAAATTACTATTTAAGCTTTACAAGTTAATTTACATTCCACTGCATGACTAATCGTCGCCGTAGCTTTAATATATTTATGAGTTTTCTTTTAATACGAGATTCTGATCCTTGGTTAAGTTTTCGCTCGAAGCATGCAAATATTGAAAAGCATGCATTTGTGTTATTTGCTTCATTATTGTTAATTATTTAATAACAGGTACACGAAGCTGGGCTTTGCTGGAAATAAAGAGCCTCAACTTATGATACCATCGGCAATAGCCATAAAGGAAACGGCTAAAGTTGGCGATAAGTCTGCGAGACGCGTCACCAAAGGTATCGAAGATTTAGATTTTTATATCGGAGATGAAGCTTTCGATGCTACCGGATATGCAGTCAAGGTACATAACATCCTCGTCGTTGTAGTCATTATTATTATTTATTATTTATTGATCAATCGATTGACAATACTAAGATTATCCATAAGATTTAAAAATATTGAAATTTATTTCTCCTTATTGAAATAGTATCCAGTTAGACACGGTTTGGTCGAAGATTGGGATTTGATGGAGCGTTTTCTTCAGCAATGTATTTTCAAATATTTAAGGGCAGAGCCAGAAGATCATTATTTTCTATTAACGGAACCTCCCTTAAATACACCTGAAAATCGTGAATACACAGCCGAGATAATGTTTGAATCGTTTAATGTTTCTGGATTGTACATTGCTGTTCAAGCGGTATTAGCTCTTGCAGCTTCGTGGACGGCTAAAAATGTCGAAGAAAGAAATTTGACTGGTATTGTTGTCGATAGTGGCGATGGAGTCACTCATGTTATCCCCGTTGTAAGCTATTCCCAATGTTTATTCATTTTATTGAACAATGTTCTGCTCTACTAATCAAGTTCATTTTTTTAGGCCGAGGGCTTTGTTATAGGTAGTTGTATTAAGCACATTCCAATTGCTGGACGTGATATTACATATTTTATTCAGAGTCTCTTAAGAGATCGAGAAGTGGGTATACCTCCAGAACAATCGTTAGAAACAGCAAAAGCGATTAAAGAAAAATTTTGTTATATTTGCCCTGATATTGCCAAAGAATTTGCTAAATTTGATAGCGATGCTAGCAAGTTTAGAAAATATGATGGAATGAATAATATAACCAAACAACCATTTACCGTAGATGTCGGTTACGAAAGATTTCTTGGACCAGAAATTTTCTTTCATCCCGAGGTATTAAGTAATTTAAATGATAAATTTCTACATTAGTTTATTACGAGTTTTTAAACCCCACATTTGTCATTTCAGTTTTCCAATCCAGATTTTACAACTCCTCTAAATGAGATTGTGGACGATGTTATTCAACATTGCCCCATCGATGTAAGAAGACCACTTTATCATAATATCGTTCTGTCTGGTGGTTCAACAATGTTCAAAGGCTTTGGAAGACGACTACAAAGAGATATAAAAAAAACTGTCGATGCGCGTTTGAATTTAAGCATGGCCCTTAGCGGTGGACATATTACGGTATAATTTCTAAATTAAAAAATCATTCTTAAGCTAATTTAGTTTAATGCGTTCAAACATTTGTTTTAAGCCGAAGCCAATTGACGTTCGTGTAATATCACATCATAAACAGCGTTGTGCTGTTTGGTATGGAGGAGCATTATTGGCTAGTGATCCTGAATTTTTTACAGTATGCCACACCAAAGCGGACTATCAAGAACATGGCCCAGGAATTTGTCGTTACAATCCTGTGTTCCGTAGTATGATTTAAATGATAAAATTATTAAGAATACAGTTAGAAAAATCTAATAAATCAAGAATACGGACTTTACTGACTTCTCAATACTGACATCAGTTTACAATTTTCAGAGTGGCCAAGCATTTATTAAAAATAAATTTAATATTATTTTATTAACATTTATCATTTAATTACAATTATTACGTGAAAATAAGCGCCAATTCATTTAATAAAACACAATGTATGCATTCGTAAATACAAGGTGCGTGATTTTTTTAATCTTCTTTTTGCTAAATTATAATATCGTCAATGTTAACAAATTAGATATTTCATCGTACGTACTATATTTTTACAAAAAATGATTCGTAATTACAAATAAGATTTATCTATGAGTTCTCAGTGATCTAATAAAATCAGCAGAACTGATATTTACTTAAAACAATTTTTTGTATTAGAAAATATATATTTTGAAAGATTGTATATTAGTTATATTCATTTGGATTACCATTATTTTTACTGCAAAGAAAAAATAAAAAAGGCAAAGAAAAATATAACAAAAAAAAAAAAAAAAAGAAAAAAAGATCTGTTAAATTAATTAAAAAATATTTACATGAAAAATAAAAGCGTTGTTATTATTCAATCTAATATATCAACTTATTTTTATGCGGAGAGACATTCAGGCAATGTTCGTGCATGTATGTCATGATTTGTTGTTCATCTATAGAAATCCGGAGACGAAATGATATTGAAAACTACTATAGGGAGCGATCTAGGTATCATCACGAGGAGGTAAAGGATCATGAGGATAGATCGTATCTCCGCTTTGTAACTGTTACAAAAATACATAATTAATGCAATTAAATTTGTAAAACTATCTGTTTAATTGAAGAACGACGATTATTACGATACCTCTTGAGCCGTAACCGTCACATCTTTCAAATCCGACAATACAACATGTCTTAAAACCGATTTGAATGATAAATGATAAGCATCCCTTTTTATTCCACGCTGCTTTATTAAAGTTGGGCCATCATTGGCATTTATTTCATTGAGAATAATTTCCGTCTGCTTTACAAGCCAACGTAAAGTTTCTGCTTTCTTCCATAAACTTGAACAGCGAGCGATGTATATCTCTTGTAGTTTCATCGTAATACCGTACGGGCGTTCACAAAAAAATTTATGACTTATTATCTGAAATAAAAAATCCATGATAATCGATATCGTTAAGTTGGTTAGGAAAATTGTAATTATATTATAATAATTACTTTGGAATCGATGCGTTGGTTACATGCTTCAAGTAGTGGTATTAGCACAGTAGGGTACGTGAAAAGTGCTTTTTGCAAATATTCATTGGCAGTTTCGTACTTTCCTAAATAAAAATAAGCCAATGATAAGCTGTAGATAATATTAAGATTTCTCGTCAAATATGTTGAATCACAGAATTCACAGAACCATTCGTACTCCTTTGATCGGATAGCATAAAAATCTATCATTAAGGAAACGGCTAATGGATCGTCAGAGTCCAATAGCATTAACAGCTTGCACAATTCTAAACTAGTCCTTGTGAGAAATACAAAAATTATCGAATACAATAAACAGTATTGATAAAGTAAGGAAATTTATTATATAATATAATATTAACAATAACCTGTAAAATGATAAATCACCAACTAAAATTAGACGTTTGAATAATGCTATGAACAAAGCACGATTTTCCTTCCTGTTGTAATCCATTAGATAATTTTTCATAAATTTAGGATGAAAGGCATATTCTAAATAAAATAGTGCTTGTTCTATGAACTTTGCTGACATTGCCAAATTATAGGTGATTTTATAAAAATTGGCGCAATGTAAAAGACTATCCACGTGATATGGATGAGCATGAGCGATATTCTGCATGACAAATTTAATTCATTTAATAATACAAGTAACCTTGCTACATACATTATCAAAACTATACATTTTTTAACTATAAATTTTTGTTTCATATACTGTAGGTAATTTGCGAATCTTATTATTTAAATTTATTTATTCTTTGTAATTTGAATGAGGCAATAACATAAAATTTTTATAATTATAATTGTAGTTTAAAATTAGCTTTAATTGCATCAGCCCTTGAAGTGTCGTAATCCAAGAGCTGGTTATATATGATATTTAATGTAAAATACTTCATATTTTATATTTTTTTTAAATAATCAAAGGAATAAAAATCGTATTTTATCACAATAATCGTAGTGTTAATTGAATTAATAAACATGATTCATTTTGTTAAACTTACAAAAATAGTTTGTATATCACTTGAAACGACTGCTTGATAAAATTGAATTTGGATTTGATTATACGAATGATTATATTTATAATTAAAGTGCAGACGTGTAGGAAATGATATCGATTCAGTTACATACATAGAGAGACCAGATCTTGAAGCAACGTCAATATTTTTCTCATGTGCACTGACCAACCACGTCTTTCTTAAATATTTATTATGAGGTCTAGTTTTCAATTTGCTATAAACAAATTTAAAATTATCAAATATGAATGTTATTTAACATTTTTTTTTAAATTATACCTTCAAACTAAATTTTTTACTGTAATGTAATATTAATAATTGATAATACTAGCTAAAAAAATTTTCATCAGATTGTTTAGTTCAAATGACTTCCAGTTACACGATACTTTTGAAAGATTTTTGGATAAACATAAACCTGTAAATAACAATCAAGCTTATTAATGTAAGCAATTGAAATGATATTAAATAATATTGATTTATTTTTTCTTACAAAAACTAACTATATAATTTCTACGAATATAGATTTTTTCATATAAGGAATAATATAAAATTCACTTTTCTTATTAAAAAATCATTTCATCGAAATATTTATAATTATGAAATTACAATGGACTTTCAATCCGGGCTGTAATTCAAAACTTTTCATTTCTTTTCATTGAATTTATTATAATTACAGTAAAAAATTTAATTCACATTTATCGCACATTAAATATTTAAGTTTTCAATAAATTATACTCTAACTAACAAATTATTATCTTCAATATTTTCAATATTAACTATTCGGTTGAGTTTATTATTATTCAAATATTTACATTCCACCATTAATATTTCTCTAGTTAGTCTTCTTTTTTTTGTTATTATTTGACTTGAGCTTAAGCCAGCACTTAATCTTGATTCCATTAATTGCTTATTCATCTCTTTATCAATTTCTTTATCAATTTCGTATGCATGTTTTTGTCTTGTTTTCTTCTTTTTCTTACTTTTTGACATTTTATTACAATTTTGTTCTTGTTCTCCAATTTTAACTTCATCGGTATCTTCGATGTCATTTTCACAATTTTCATTTAACTATGAAAATACAAAATTCAATCAGAAAACTTGATTATACAATATTAAATTAAATAACCTTACCAGATCAAAAACATTAAAAGATTTTTTAATTTCTCTTTCTATGTGTAAATCATTAATTTCATCTTCAAGCTCCTTATTTTGTTCTTTATCAATATCATTACCAAACAGCTTTTTCATGTATCTGGTAGACATTATCGAACATATATTGACATTGATAAATGGATCTGACAAAGTTCAGTTAAATAAATGTAAGAACAAGCTCTAAAAACATATATAAACATATATATAATTAAAGCAAATGTAATTTTCTATTTTCACGATAACTGAACAAAAAAATAACCTAACCTAGACGAATTATAATTGTAATTCGTGTAAATTACAAACTTGTTAAAGATACTTGTTACATACTTTATAATTTTTACTTGACGTGCAGTTTTTATTTGCTGAATTATTTTACAAGTTTTTAGGAAATGAATTTCCTTTCCTAGGTCATCAGTTTGTAACGCATGCGCTTTTAAACTATTCTAATGTAAATAAATAGAAAAATCAGAGAACAAAAAAAAATATATTGGATTTTCAATAAAAATTATTAACATATAATTATGCATAAATTACATTGATATTTAAAGAAATTAATAATTTATTAATTAATAATGAAATATTATTAATAATATTTCACAATTATTAATGATTCTATCTTTTCTCTTTTATTAGTAATATGAAAATATGCAATATGCAGAATTGTTAGTAACAAAAATGTTATTAAACATTGTAATTTAATTCATTTTAATCAATTGAAAATGCTATCATTTAACAGCTTATTTAAACATATCTCGAGCATTGTTTCTACGCTATTGTTACTTTTTTAAATAATAATTTCTACTAAATATCAGCTACATCGCGAGTAAAATTTCTTCATTTGCATTATCTTTAAACAGGAGACTTTAAATACTAGAATAATTGATTAACAATGATCGAATTCTTAAAAGAATGGAGATTCAAAGGGCTTAGAAAAATATTGACGTTTAACGAAAGATATAATAGCTGCTTTTACGACAGACAAAATTAAATAACAAAATCGCATAACAATCACCTTTTTTAAATTAATTTATATATCTGATTTTTGTTTATCTTAATAAATAAAGAGTAATTTGAATTGCAACGTTATTTAACTTTTCTTTAATGCTACTGTTAAATCGTCGTAAAGCACTCTTTACGATTGACAAAGTACCGACATGGTTCCAGTTTATTTAATTTTTCATCGAGACGAAGCATTTTCTACCTTCGCTAATGAGAAAGAGAAAAGTATTCGGAAAAGCAGTGTCAGTTGCTAAAGGCATTGAATAAGATTCGTTCTATTCAGTACAACTAAATAAAATCTCGAGAGTAAGCGACGAATAAGCGATATTTTTCATTTCTAAATAGACTATAAAAAAAAAAAAAAAAAAAAAAAAAAAAAAAATCACACACACACACACACAAAAAAAGTAAAAATCAATTAACTTTTAAAAATGTCAAAATACATTATAAATTGTCGAAGTATATTGTATTCGTAAGTTGACGATATTAAAATATATGTATCCAAATGGATATTTCTAAGAAATTAAAATACCAATGGCTTTGTAATGTAAGTAAATCTCAACCTTTTTTTATTTTTTTAAACATTGTGTGTGACGTGCGCTTCTAGTCTGTGAAAATATGCAAAACAGTGGATATAGAAAACTTTTAGAAAATTACAGAGAAGCTAAATGTGTTAGGAAGTCTTGTCAATGGTATTACAATCATAATACAAATGATTAATTTTTTTCTACAATAATATTCGGCAAGTAATTAGAACGATTAGTTTTCAAATGCTATTCAAATAGAAAAACATCACGAGCCATATAAAATAAAGAAAATAAAGAAAATAATCTATCATTTTGATTTATAAACAATGCAAGCAACTAATTGTTAAAAAATTTTGTATATAATTTTTGTATCATAATTACAGTAATTGGAATATTTTGAAATTAATGATGAAAGACCGATATACTGTATTGACTTCGATACATAAGTATGTGTATTGTGAAAGCTATGCATGAACGCTTCACTATTAAAAGTCATGCATTCTATATTTCATTTTAACAAGAATTTAAGATTTCGAACAGTAACAAAATCACAGTTGGAGCAAATTTACCGTAATTCCTATAACGATGACGCGATGACGAAACTAATTCGCAATGCCTATTATTATCCATGTGGGTAAAATAGTTCGTCTCTCTTCAATTTATCGCTTCGTCTAAAAGCGCCATCTGTGGGTCAAGTCACGTCAGGCCTTAAACTTCAACTTTGCTTATTTCCATAACAAGCGATTAGCAACAGATTCCACTATCCCATTTAAAAATATGGGAATATTTATTTTTACCAATTAATTTAAAAAAAAAAAAAAAAAAAAAAAAAAAAAAAAAAGTTTAAGCCGTAGTGTGATATGTAATATCTAGAGTTTACAGTGTATGAAAGTAAGTTGAGCGGTATGAAACTTTATTTTATTATACTACATTACATAAAAATGTATAAAATTATTCAATTGAATTATTTAAGACTTGTTAAATTTATGATTAATTATCTATTGCAGAAGACTTTTGTCCGTCAATTCTAACGCTTTGGTTTTGCTGAATTTAGTACAAATTATTGATTAAATAACAATGGGTCAATGTAATGGCAAAATGGTTTTGCATTAGATTATATACTTATTTTTAAGTTTAAAACTAATATATATATATATATATATATATATAAGTATTATATACGTTTGTGTGTATATATATATATATATATATATAAAGAAATATGGAATCAAGCACTGCACCTCCAGTAAAACCTCCTCGAGGAATTAAGCCCTCGAAGGAAACTGTAAGGATATTATCTTTGTTTATGTGTGAAATATTACTTTGTAAATTCTCTCTATTGCTCATTTGTTACTTAATTTAAATGCACATTTTTTATATTTACATCTTTCAGAGTGGTTTATTAATAACTGTGATTCGTGCTCTCTCGGCGAGTGAGACTAACGAACAGAGAGAAGTAGAAAAGGCAAAACTTGAAAAAGATTATAAGCGTTGCGATCAAAGACTCGACGAACTTGTTTCGACTCACGAAGAAGATCTTACAGAAGTTATGAGAGTAAGTAAATCAGTTGATTCTTAGCATAAAAGTATATGCGTATACATTGAATACTTTTAAATTAGTTTGTATATGATTATTAAATTCCTATATTAGATTTTTGGAATATTATCCGAACAAGTAACAGCAGCTCGTGAAAGAATTCATTCCGTTAAAGAAAATTTAAATGCATGTAAGCAGTTGCTAAATTGTAGAAGAGAAGAATTAATGAAATTATGGTTAGAAGGAGTTGAACATAAGCATGTTTTACAGCTTTTAAATGACATGTAAGATTTCTTTTTATAATCAGTATTATTCCATCATCAATTTTATAAAATATAAATGATTTCTAGTGACGAATTAAAAGGAATTCCAGCTAAATTAAGCAGCTATTTAGAAAAGAAGCACTACTTACATGCAACGCAATTACTTGTTTCTGCTCTTTCAATGGGTGATAAAGTTTTAGAAGGTGTAGAAGCTCTGCGAGAAGTGCGATCGGAATTAGAATCTAAAAAACAAAAACTCAGTAGTAAATTATTAGAGGAATTAAATAACCATTTATACAAAGAACAATTGGTAGAAACGGGTCTAAAACGACAGGGTTCAAATAGAGATTTTCAACGTGGAAATGAAGCACGTAGTTCAAAAGGTAATAAAGTAAAGAGAAATTTACTTGATGTTGCTGTTCCTGGTTATTTGTCTGGTCAAATTTCTAGGTATGTTTGAACATATTTTAACAAATAATTTATATTATGATAATTAATAAAATTTCATTTTTAGAAAAACCAGTAATGTAGGATTGGAAGATTTAAATAATCTTGTTGAGGATGAAGGTAATTTAAATCCTGAAGAAAATTCTGAACACTTTTTGGCAATTATTATCGAATGCTTAGCTTTATTAAATCAAATTCCAGAAGCTATAGAAGTAAGTTTTGAAATTTCATAATCATTTTTATTTTTTTTTAATACGATACTTGAAAAATGCTTAAAATAATTTAAGGTTTTTATTAATTAAAATATGCATTCAAAATTATAGAAAACAATAAATATTCTTTATCCTTCATAATATCATTATCTTTTTAAAAGTTTTTTAGTTTCTTTTAAAGCTGTATATTAACATATAACGAAAAACTACTTTACTGTAAATAATTTATTAATTTATTAATTTTAATAACGAATTTGAATAATAAGAAAATCCTCAACTGTTCAGTAATATCGTTTAAATTTGAACGGTTAAATAGATTATTTGTTAAAATTTTAATAGCAAATGCTTCATTAAATAAGTAAAACTTACATTCAATTTAGGTTGTTAAAGCACAAATGCAAAATGAATTATTAAAAATTATCGAGGAAGCATCAAAAAATATCAAAGAATTACCGAATAAAGAAATGCCTCTAAATGTGAGAGTTCAAACAAATTCTGCTCTGGAGGAAGAACCAACGAGTCAATCTCCTCTCTTAGAGCTTCTGAATATAATATTTGAACGCTTTCAACAAGTCATCGCATCACATTCCTTAGCATTATGTGGATTTACTCATGTAATTAAAAAACATAATTTAGAAACATCTCTTTATGGAATAACCGATGTTTGGAATAATATTCAAGCAGTGGTAAAATAATAATAAAATATTATTTAGCAAAATATTTATTATATTATTTAGATGTTAGGCAAATTAATATTTTTATTTCATAGATTCAGATACTATTAACGGAGTATCTTGATGTACAAAATATGGTTGACGGACCTTTCCAATCTTCTGTTTCATTAAACGAACAAACTAACGATATTAATGTCTACTTTGCTAAAAAAAGGCCACAAAGACCAAAAAATGGCTTACTTTTTAAGTTTGATTCATCTACACATACCATGTCTTTTAATAATTATCTTAAGGATCATAGCTATAGTAGCCTCACGTCAGCCGTAAGTTTTGTATATATATTTTTTTCTATTTTTATTAATTTCTCAATAGAATCTTATAATGAGTGTAATTTTTAGGAAAATAAACAATCAAAATCTAATAAAAAATTAGTTTGTAAACCAGATCCAAAAAATATAACACTTATATTTAGACCAATAATGCAGTTTATTGATGAAATTGAACGGGCAATGGGAGTTACTACAGGGTAAGTTTTTATATCTACTTAGTTTAGTATTGAAATTAAAATTTTGAAAAAGATTTTTAAATTATAATAAATAATTTGTTGTTGGTACTCTGTCGGTACTGAACATTTTTATTTTTATTTTATACATATAAAACATGTAATTAACAAATTTTTAATTTTACGAATCATTTTATTTAACTTTAAAATTCAACATAAATATTAAAATAAATTAAACAGTGTTCGTTCATTTTTCGATACTACGATATTGAATTTTGTTAATTCAAATGAAATGTTTATACATATATTTTTTAAAACGTATATACTCCAAGTCTATTTCATAACCATGAAAGATATAGAAAAAGTAACAACTTTTTTTCTTATAATATCAGTAATAAATTTTAACTATTACAATTATAAGTATTTAACATAACATAGTGCTAAATTATTTATAAACAGTAATGTTTTTTAATATTACTAGTTTACAACAATATGAACAGTTCATATAAAAACAAAGTATATTTTACATAATTGAAAAATAATGCTTCTAATTATTGTTTATTTTATCTTATAGTAAAATATCTCGAGTAAAATTTTATAAAAATGTTATTAAATATATTTACATAATAAGCTACTGTTGCTTAATAATTGTTATAAACAAATATATGCTTCAAGTGCACAATAACATACGTACTATTAAAAAATCATGTAGCATATTTTTAAAAAGTCGTAGATCAGTGCATCTTTGATCATACGTAATAATAATTTATCAAATACACACGCGCGCGCGCGCGCACACACACACACACACACACACACACACACACACACACACATATATATCATGAATGTGCCCTATAAAAAATAATAAATAGATTTAAATTTAATAATTAAGACAATACATTTTTTACAAAATAATATGAAAATAATATTACAATTCATTATTTATTATATAATCCATAGTTGGTATACAACAAGCTCTGACTGGCATATTTTCACGGTGTTTTGACACAAACTTAATAAAATTAAATTTTGTTTAGCTGTATAAATATATGAGCATTCTTTTTTTTTTATTGTAAATTTTTGAATATCATTAAAATGAATGAATTTTTATCTTTAAAAATGAAATTATTATACATTGTAACATTGTTAAACGTTAAAATATTCAGACGACTGAATTATTTTAAAAGATAATTAAAGAAATTTAAGTAAAACATGTTATTTCCTTATTTATTGATATTTTAAACTAATCTGTACTATCTGCATTTTAAATTATAAAAAATTTACTACAATAAAGAGAAATATACCCGTTGACATTAAAAAAATAGATATAACTCGTATTTATGGAGAAAAGAAAAACTAATTCCTTTATTTAAGATGTAAAAGAAAACATTGGCAAAATTGCTATAAAATAATAGTTAAGAAAAAAAAAAAAAAAAAAAATTCAATAACAGACAAAAATGAAGTTTAATCATTTATTTTATCTTACTGTGTTAAGGAATTCAATGTGCACTTTAAGCAACTTTTTAGCGGATTATGTTAAAGAAGTATATCTTGGACGACATCATGTACTAGTTGCAACGACTATAGAAGCAGCGACAAAAAGTCCTGATTCATGGCTTGCTACAACATCTCCAGAACTGATGAGAGATATTGGGCTAAATAGGCCATTGTTACAGGTAATAAAACTACGTAAACCTAATATCTTATTTATAAAGTTTGCTTCTCTTAATACAATAAATACGCGTATGTTTGCAAATTATATACGTACGTGTCAACTGCACGTATTGGCTACTTATAACTGAATGAATCAAAATTGTTCGAAAATTTACATTTATGCATTTAAAAGTACAGTAAATAAATGTATGCCTTTTTGTATATGAAATGTTAATATTACTTATCCCGTATTAATATATATATATATATATATAACAAAAAACAAAAAAAATGTATATTACATTTCATGCTATGATTCTGCAAAAATCTAGATTTACAATGATTTATAATTTATATTTTATAAAAAATTATAATTCAATAAGTATGTTCTTATATAATGTAGCTACTGTGATAAATGTAATAAATGAAAATTCATAAGTAAAAATATAAATAATAATAATTAATAAAACAATAGATGTAATAGTGATGTGATGATCGTTGGGGTATTAAAGTATATCCAAATTTTATGTTTTAGAGTACCGTGAAAGTTCAACAATGCGTTGCGGAGCTTCGATTGCTTATGATTGCATTACCATTACAAGGCGAACATTTTTGTACTTTGGTTTTAAATGTTCTACACAATTACCGCGAGACATGTCAAAATGCTTATCGAGATATTGTCCAACCGGATAGACACGACAGATTAATTTGCTCTGCCGCCTGGCTCAAGGATGAGGATATTAGTAGATTTATTAAGTGAGTAGAGTGCGTTATTCTTCAGTCTTAATATTTATTATGTGCAGTTCAAGCCACTTATTTATTAGAATTATTGTATGTTGATGTATCATGAAAATCTATAGATCACTGCCGAATTGGGAAAGCATGAAAAGCCAAGTTCAATATTATCAAGCGGGTCCTTCTAATCGTAGAGTAAATCGAAGACAAGAAACTCACGACGAAGAAAGTCCGGACGATGTTCGTGAACGAAATTTAAAAGAAGCTGAAATACTTGCGAGTAATTTAGGAGAAGGTGGCGTTGGCGCTAACGAGATCATTTCTGACATTGAACAATTACGAAGCTTATCATTATTACAAGAAAGTGTCGAGTGGTTTTCCTTCTCAATTCGATCATTAATAAGGGAATTACAACAGTCTAATCATGAAAGGAACATCGATGTAAATACATTACCACCAATCCCTAATTCTCTCGTTCAATACCTAGAACAAGTGGCTGATGAATACGACGAGCTTGCCAATACCTGCATATTAGTATTACATTTAGAAGTAAATAGAATTATTATAAGCTTATGCTCGCTCTTATCGGCATTGAATCAATGTAAACTCCATAATTGTCATTACATGAATTATTCTTAGGTTAGAGTACAATGCTTTTATTACCTTCATCCAAGAGCTAAAACGAGTCTCTTGTGTACCGGCGCCAAAGATCCCGATGAAGCAGATTCGCGTGTTGAAGAACTTAGTCGGGTTTTACAGCATATGGACGAAGCCTTCCAATCGACGCTTCATCAAAAAAAAACTAAGGTAAAACATGAACGTACCTCCTCCTCCTCCTTCTCATTTTAATAATTATAATGAATTTGATCGTTTACCTCTGTAATAATAATAATACTAATACTAATAATAATAATAATAATAATAATAATAATAATAATATAAAAATTATCCTAAGTATAGCGTGATTAATAATTTGTAATAAATAAATGTACAAAAAATGAATGAAAGTAAAAGTCTAAAGGATTATAAATATAAATTTGCAGTATATTTTCGAGGGTCTAGGACATCTAATAGCTAAAATTCTTATCACATCTGGACAATATATCGAACGAATAGATAAAAGTGGAATACAGAGAATGTGCCGAAACGTATTCACTTTGCAGCAGACTCTAACGAACATTACAATGACTCGAGAACTGGCACTCGATCATGCGCGACAGTATTTTGAACTTTTTTATGAAACCCCAGAAGAGATTCTTAATAATATGTTAGAAAATGGGCCTCAATTTTCAGAGCTTGAATATATTAATGCTTTTCAGTTGATTGCCAGAAGTCAACAAGAGTATGTAATGGTTAATAAGAATCTCGAGAAGCTTTCGGAAATACTTGGAGACGTTGGAGTTACGGTATGACATGACGTTAACTAATAAGCAGTTGAATTTCTAGTTAAAATTTAAGTACTGCAGATTGTTCCATTAATAAAAACAAAAATAAAAAAAAAAACAAAAAAAAAACAAAAAACAAAAAACAATAAAAAAAAAACAACAACAACGACAAAATCCATTAATTAATGATGAAAAATTGATGAAAAATAAATGTTCAAAAATTATTAAATTCATTAAATATCTTCCCTCTATAATGTAATATCGCTGCTTAACGTATTATTATTTATAATTTTTATTTACGTAAGAACATTTCTTTTTATTTATCCTTGAATGACAATAAATTATATTTTTCGTTGCAATAATCACATCGATGGTAAAACGTGAAGCCTTCGCTATATTGATTTATTACTTATTTAGTTTGGACTACAGTAATACTGCTAATAACACATAATAACATAATTATCTGTCGCTTCACGATGTCGAAGACTTCTAATGTTCGACGGTCTGCAAGTAATTAATTGTGGCTTGATGATCGCATGCCATTAAATATTTAACTTCGGCCTGAAAATATTTAATATTAGAATAATCAAAGCAGGCATCATGTATCATTATATAAATAAATAAAAGTGCCGTACGGCGAAGGATATAAATGCATTATAATGAAAAGATAGAGCATCCTAAAATAATGCAATAATATAAAACTTTCATTGCTTGATTATTTATTTGAAGTAAAAAAGTGAGATTTAATATACCATTATCGTGTGAAACATTAAGGCCAAGGACTTTGGATTTATCCTGCACTCGCTATCATACAAGGCGGCTCGCTTTCCTGGACCCCATCCTTTTGAAAACGTCACCTGCACGTGTAAATTGAATCTTCTGATTAAAACTGAATAATTCTTGACCATCTTAATAATCGAATCTCTAGCCTTTATAAATTAATGTACAATATGGGAGAGGTGGGGGGAGGGTGATTAAATATCTCCTCAAATTTGTATTGAAAAAAACAAAAAACAAAAAACAAAGAGAGAAATAAAAGACTATGTATATGTTATATAAAATGAATGATTTAACGATACCTGAGCAACGGTTAAGTGAGCGATGCAGAAAATGATGAGGAGTAAAGTGAAGAAATGTCGTAGAAATTTAGACATGATGACTGACTCGATGTGCGCAATATAACCAAGTGCTTGTCGTCGATATCAAAATACGAATTCAAAGTACCAGGTCTCTCGTGCGTCGATGAAAGCGATTCTCCTTCTGAAATTAGCAGCACTAAATTCTGCTCTTTTATAGAGCATGTAATATATGGATTGCCGCCAACACCTCTGACGTTTCTCTCTTCTTCTCAGATAAACCGCGCATGTACTACGCATCTTCTTTTCAACTATCAATATTGGAGAACGAAAACTAAAATATGAAAATTAAAACAGACCGTACAGAGAGAGAGAGAGAGAGAGAGAGAGAGAGAGAGAGAGAGAGAGAGAGAGAGAGCTCGTATTCGCAGAGTGATCAAAGACTCAAAGGCCAAGCGCTCAAATATTGAGATTCTTCGTTCAAATTTAAATGATAGCTTTGCTTCTCGCCTCTTGGAAAATCGAAGAGCTGAGGATTCCAAAGCAATTTCCTTTGGTTAAATGGAAAGCGAATTTTGCAAAAATTTTAAATTAAAAAGAGACGAAAGATTGTCAGACCAAAAAACACACAAATAAAAAAAAACTCATTATATCAGTACGCATTCTTATCATTTTCATAATTTATGTGTGATGGCTAATTATTATTAACATTAGAATGCATGTACATTTCGACTTGTGGTATCTTTCTCAAAGCAATTATTTAATTTTAATGTTACACGAGGTTTATTTTTTATATAGGGGTAAAATTTTTCATTTTATAGTTTTAATTTATCGATAAGGAATTTACTTGTCATTAAATGAAATATACATTAAATATAAATAGAATTATTTGTTTATAATTTTCTATATTAATAGATGTTAAATACTAAAGTTAAGTACATAATAAGTTATCCAACAATCCATATACAAAATATAGGCTAGATTTACAAATACAGTGGCCTTACTGTTAATTATGATAATTAACGGAAGTTAGTTCTGTACAGAATAAAAAGCTGACTGATTTAAAAGTGCAATATATTTACGCTTCTACGGTATATTATAATAATACATAACAATAATAATGATAGACAATGATGATGGTGATGATGATGATCATAATGACAACGACGACGACGACGACGACGACGAGGAGGATACGGATGATAATTATAAGAATGATATATGTTAAACGACTAATAGACAATTAAGCGTGAGTTTTCTATATTATAAATAAATATATAAGTAAAAGGTATATCATATACTATATTGATGTAATACGCATGTTATATTAAATAAAATAAAAAGGAAATGATTTGGCCAATTTTTTAAATACGTTTAATTCATTCTAAATACATTCAATATTTACCTGATAGACTTATCGATCAATTATATAGTGAGGCATCAATAGTCTATATATTAAATTAATAATTCATGTATTAAATATGTTATAACCTAATTATTAAGAAGCCATTATTAAGCAACCATATATTAATAAGTATTGATTTATGTTTATCATCTGTTAATTCCTAAGCGGATTGTTTATCAAAAATTTAAAAATTCAATTGGTAATTGTAATTTTTGTTTACTTCACAAATATCATATCATATTAATAAAAAAGTTTTGCTAGAAAATAATAAAAACAGTAAATTAATTAAATGAGTAACAGTGTTTATTCGAATGAAAGGGAGCATCAAAATAACTATCTAATTAGAAATTTAATTAAAGTAAATATTCGCAAATTCAAGAAAGTAACGAATAGTAGTATATCAGCGTATATCAGCAATCTTAAACATTGATTAATAATTGCTCAAAATATATAACCTCGTCCGTGTACGTTTGTATATATATATATACACACACACACACACACACACACACACACACACACACATGCATATGTGTACATTGAAAATGAAATTTGAAATTTCTATCAATTGTTGAATAAGTTTTATGGAATAAAAGTGTGAAAAATTCGGAAGCAAAAAAAAACAATAAAGTACATGCGCATAAAAATGAGTGAATCAAGGAAAATGAATAACGATGGCTAGAGTAAAATAACACAATTACACGAGTCGGTGCAATATAACATAAGGAGCTTATTATATTAGCTTGCACGCGCAGTGTCCGCCGTATAACGAGTCGATAGCTTGATGTTTACCGAGGTGCAATAACAGAACCGCGCGTTCGTTTCCACACACTCTCTCTCTCTCTCTCTCTCCCTCTCTCTCACATTCTATATATATGTATATATATATTCCCTCCTTTCTCTCTCTCTCTCTCTCTCTCTCTCTCTCTCTCTCTCTCTCTTTCTCTCTCTGTCGTACTCTTGGTTACGCTCGCTACGGCTCGCAACAGATGGTAGCGCGATACCGACTCTAATATTACGACTCAATCACTCCCCATCGATCACGAGATATTCAACATTATTACTCGCGGGCCGCTCGCGTTCGCCGTTCTATATATTGCCCCATACCTACCTATACCGTATGTATACACGCCCAGCGTGCGAAGCTTTTTCCTCGCAATTTCACATCGCAACGTGCACAACCATATATTGCATCTTCTACTTTCTTCCTTCCTTCCTCCCCTTCATCCTCATATCCATCCACCCATTTATCCATCTATCCCTTCCACCGCCACGTCGAGTCTTTGATATCGACTTGAATTTCATTAAAAAGATAATAGCCCTACGTGTATTATCATATTTTATTCGGTATTGTAATGGCACGACATATGCCGCGCCAGAGAATCATTACCGCCAGCCACGCTCCCCCCCCCCCCCC